CTTTATTTGCTGCTTTATAAAAGTTTGATAAAATTTCACCAGGAAGAGCTGTCACAGCATAAGCCATGTTGATACCAGAGCCCAGATGAAGTTTGTTTGTCGGACGTAGCAACAGTAACTAAGGGGGGCGGGGCTTAGCCAAAGGCGAATTCAGGTTTATTTCTCGTCTTTTGAACTTGAATGGACAAGAGAACGTCTCGATGATTATCCTCATAAACACAGTCGGTTGTGTTAAACAATTGAAAAAGAAAATGGATGCATTCGTCTTAAAGTGACAGCAGCCTAATATAAACCCAGCTTTGTGTCACCACTATTAAGCAAACAACAAAAGAGAAAGAAAAAATGACTTGTAGCTTCAACAAAAAAAAGTTTTTATTAATTAATTAAATTTATTATATTAAATTTATACATTGAAGACTATGCTGTGTTATTTTACATTTGATTATTCAATCTATGTACCTGATTTACCTGAAAACAATAAAGCACAGCTTATTTCATTTGTATCATTGTTCTATTGTATTTATCTATGCTTGTAACTTGTTTATTATTTTCTCTGCAGATGCACTCTCCTGCAAAATCACCCTAATCATCTTAGAATGATAAATTCTTTACAAATAGAGCTTTACGAGTCATCTGGTGAAATTGTTCTCATATCGCATTATAGGCTATATAGCAGAAAAACTAAATATCACAATGTCAGTTTTTTTCCAATATCGTGCAGCCCTAATGCCAATATAATAAATCACTGAGGTTAAAGTAATCTTTCATTGAAATGTAATAACTTGCTCTGAAGCAACTTTCCTTGTCAGATGACAACAGTTGTCAGCAAGCTGTTGTCAGATAGTTTTAAAGTCATTATGAAATCAAAATGGACAATTCTTATTTTATTTAAACAATATCAAGTCCTTTCTTAATTTTTTTCTCATTTCAGAAGCCTCGGATATACGTCACAACAGGGAAGAAAAAAATATCGCAACATCCATTTCATGCCGACTTAAACTTTATTTACAACAAGGATGATAACAGCATAGTAGAATGATAGTGTTGGAATCACATTCAGCTAATTTTTTTCCCAGCTGATGAACAATAAACACTTACAGCCAATCAGAATCCATCCGACTTTCAAGGGCTTGAACATTTAACACTGTACCTCAAGTGTTTCAGGAGGAAATAGTCCTCTATAAGTGACTTCAAACTTGCGTTCAGACTTGGTTTTATTCTCTTAAAAAAAACACCATCTAATCAATTCACAATGGATAAAAACATCTGCTGCCGTACATTTTATTTTCCACAAATCAATGGTCCATCACACCATCAACACTAGAAGAATCTGATGCCACATGCTCCCTGTTCCTACGGCCTGCTGCTTTCCAGACTAGAGTCAGCATTCCTGCATGGAAGCACCAGCTCTGGCACTGTCAGCACAGAGCTCAAGTCAATTCATCATGCTGCTGATTCCTTCTGTGATTCACTCGACCACACACACCTTCATCTTGTTTTTGGTACAGCTGTGAGTTACGAGAAACTCTACTTCCATGCCATTTTACTTCAGTTCATGTGCGATACAACATTCATCACTAGTGCCAGAAATAAACTTTTTATTAAGGATATATGACCCCTGGAAATAACTTTCATTTTGAGGACATTTTTTACCAACCATATAAAAATGGTCTATTTGTCAAAACTGGTTTCAATTTAAAACAAAATCGACCATATTTACTTTGTTAGCACACACAGTCTTGTGGTGAACAATTAATCTGTGCAAATTAATCCACAGAAAAAAAATTGTCTTCAGAATCTTTAGTCAAAATCTGAAAATTAAGATTCCCTTAAATGAATATTCCGTTTCAAATTGGTTACAATTATGAAGTAGTCAGTTGATACTTCCAGTTCAAATACATATAATGCTCAAGATATCATTATACAATAAACAGTCTGCTAGAATACATTTTGAAATAATCCACTTGTTAAATTGTGATTAGGGATGCTAACGATTAATCGGCGATCGATTAATTATCGATAAGAAATTAATCAATAAAATGTATCGATGGTAGATTAAGGTCATCCTTAGATTAAGTAGTTTTGAGGTGCGTGCGGCTCATGCGCAAAACATAAGCAGCAGACACGAGAGGAGATATGAAGCGAGCGAGCCGTAGTCACATATTCTAAGGCCCTGTTTCACAAACCGGACTTAGATTAAGCCAGCACTGTTTCAGATGCCGGTAAATCAAAACCTGTCAACCTGAGCAATCAAACCAATCCAAGCGCGCTCCAGCTGTGTCTGATTGTGATTGGTCTCTTCCCCACTATACAAACCCACCACACCTGAGATCCAGCTTCTACTGGTTGATCTTTCAAATGACATTGAAAAAAGTCATGATCATGAGTGACAAAATTCGGATCCCCAAAGTTCTATAGCTTTAGCAAAGCAGCATGTCATGTGACTCTGATCTACGCATTGTCTTATGTTATGTTTGGGCTCGTTCGAGACCACATGCTCTAAATAAAGATAATGCGATCTACTATAGTTAACTAATGTTACGAGAAGTTACAAACAAAAAACGTAGTGAAAAGCATACTGTTTGCATGTGCATCGGCAGAAATCTTTCATACAAATACTTGGTATAGTTTGGTCTTTAACTGAAACAAATTGTTGTATTCTGCGAGTTTTGTCAACGATATATGACACAAGTGTATCTGTTATGTACGATGATTTTACAGATCACATTTTCATCTAAACAGGTACTTTTTTACACTATGAAAATGGAGCACTTCTAATATGTCAGCAAATTGGTCATATTCCCTAACTGGCCAAGCTTCTAAGGTCTAAAACAACACCTATTTTGTGTTGGTTAAGCAAGGGGTTGTTGTTAAGTATGTGATAACTTAGTAGCAGCACCCCCACTTCGGATTCAAGAGATTAAGGTTAATGAATAATCAATTAATTGATCGTTAAACAATGATTGATTATGGGAATTTATGTAAATTGACATCTCTAGTCATGACGCAAGCTTCCAAAATTCTACTCGGTTCAATTGAGAATACTATCTCAACAGTCGTTTATGAGCAAAATGATTCATATCACAATACTAATAGTATTAATATACTTTATTATTATTATTATTATTGTCTTTTGTATGGCATTATTATTCAGAGCTTTTTTATATCAAAATTCAAGTCATATTAGCTCTGAGAAAGCAAATCTAATCAAATCAAAACTAATATATATGACTAGTAATAACCAAATCACCTTCTAGGCCTAGCATATAAATACATGCTTTATACATGCTTTAAAAAATTCATTCATTTTTTAAAGTTATACATCAACCTTCTTAGTATTCCTCAATCAATTCATTCAAAACAATAAAATTATAAACAAATGCCTGTTTTCCCATTCATTTTTTGTAAAAAATTGTATAGGTGTGTAACAGTGCAAGTATCTTTTTTCTGCACAACAACAATTTAATCTTTGATTACTGAATAAGTGCAATTCAATTTTTTCCACAAGGTGTCAATGTCTGATACACAATGATGAAGTGACGTTTCACTCACAGTAACAGCAGGCAGAAAACAAAAGAATAGGAAGTTTCATCAGCAAAACTTGAAATGGCTCAGCGATTTACTGCAGAGCAAGTACTGAACGCAATCAAATATTAGTGTCACTGTCACTTGATGGCGGATTTGGTAAAAAGCTGTCAGCGTTCAAAATATTGATTTTGAAGATGTTGAAAATGATAGTTTTGAGAATAAGTTTGAGATCGCAAATATGAGCCAGATGCTGAATGTGCTGGGAAATGAGTCCATTTCCTCTGACGAGGACAGTGATGATGGTATTAAACATCTGCTCAAACTGAACCCTTCCAAGCTCCAAATGGTAACAAAATATGCTTTATTTTATTCTTTTATATCATCACAACAGGTAGAGATCCATCTGTGTTAGATACATAATCGCTAAAGTCCCGAATATTTAATTATGATTGGCGAAACATGCATGCATTTAAGGGTTTAGGACAGTTTCAAAAGGATTAATGTTATACCAAAAACACAAAATCTGCACAGAACAGATTAAAAATAAGGAAGATATGATATCATACAAAAAAAGGTGTACACAATGGTTTAAAAAAAACCAGCCTGCTAAACAAATTGGAACTGGATTGACTGCTTTTTCAGAAAAATGCTCACTGAGTTTATGGAGTATAAGGTCCTGAGTCTACAAAACCTTATAGTAATTATATTGTCTATGTCTAATAATAACCTCAAAATATCAAACTTGGTAATATTTTAACTCTAATTGTTAGTGTATTTTTCAAGTAATCTTTTCATCTGTAATTCCAGTAATTCCACATTTAAAGCCATTGACCATGTGAACTAATTGCTTTCACATATAGTTTGCTATTTTTAATGTTTATGAATACCTCTAGTTTAGGCTACATATGAACCATAAACAATGATTCACAACCGTTTATATGCAAATTAAACAAACATTGCACATGTGTGCTACTATAAGCCTGGCTTATGTTTAAGCTCCTTATAGTCCTGTTGTGGAGTTATACAGGCGTACATGAGACCGTTTTAACTTCGCCCAGTGAAGGGGATTAATCTCACAGCTGAGAACCCCATGGCAACCCAGTCCTCTCAAGGGTAAATGGAGAACTTGTTATTTCCATAAATAATAAGTAAGAATTCCCTAACCATATGCCTCTAACGTAAAAACGTATTCTAAACTGCTGTTCAAAAGCGAGTTACGAGAGTTACTGTCACACAACAACGGTCGCTGATAAAGAGCTGACAGATTCAAAGCAGATTAGAGCAGCAGCTGCACTCGTTAAAAACAATAAATTAAATATAAAAAAACAATGATCTCGGTTTTAAAGGTCATTCACATTGCTCCGTTCATTCTCACCAATTCATTCTCACCAAGCATTCGCTGAGATAGTAGTAGCATTTCATTTCAGCATAAAAATAGGCTACTGCATATACATTTTCAAAAGCATTATTACCTGAAAGTGGTAAGTCTTTGACAGCCAGGCCCGTGAAAACAGACCCCTCGCCATTGCAGAAATGGATCATCTCAAAGACTGTGAGCTATCTAGAGCAGTCTCCATATGCCGAATAGAAAATGAAATAATGTCCAGCGAACTTCAAGTGATTCGGCTCGCGCGACACATGACGTGTACTGTGCTCACGGCCAGCCGATATCCTTATATTATTAGACTCCCCGAAGGATACTGTGTAGATTTACGCGTTGTGTTAAGAATTCATGTTATTCGGTTCGTCAGCGTTGGTATCCAGCGTCTAACACTTTCAAGTGCAGCTGTTATAAAGCAGCGAGACAGCAGCATGTCAAGGGCGCAGGCGTACACATACAATTTCTGCAGCCGACCTAATGTAGGGCTGGTGCTTTTTTTCCTTGAGCAAATTGTGCGTCATGTTTACTGGCGCCCTCTATTGAACACCATGCACATGATAATACATTTTTCGTGGTATCATATGCAAATTCAAACACCTAATAGTCATAAATGCTAACATAGTTGCAACTTGCAATATAAACATGTACAAATAATGTATTTGTCACGTCTGTATATTTTATTTGTTGTTATTATGAGGATTAGTATGAGCCCGAAAGTTATATTTTTAATTGAAATCTAGATTTAAATTGTATGTATTATTTTAGGAAAGAGTCTTTGGCTTGCTTTAATTTTTGTGGGGACATTTTTTGTAAACTATTTTAGTTTTAGTTTTGCCCAGTGCTAAAATTTAGGCTATCTTGAATGTTTTAAACTGAACTGTGTTTTGTTAGGATTCATGCTTGTATATAGAGCAGGGTTATTATGATTATAGGTAGGCCTACACCATGTAAATATGGCCCTTTAGCTGTTTGCATGCATTTTGCAGAAGAACTTTGTTTTGGTTGTGCTGGCTCTTGACTGTGCGGATTAATATATGACCCTTCACACAATAGTGCTTCACAATGAACTCTGTTAGAGCCTACATACTGTATAGTAATTTATCTGTTCAATAAAATATCCTATTGCAACATTTTAAATCCCTCAGTTCTCACCATCTCTGAAAAGCCATTGTTGATTCTCGTTTTATTACTAGCTTTTTACCCGTGACTCTCTTTTTGACGGCAGACTCTCTGGTCTTTTTTTTTCTTCTTCTTCTTTTTTCCGAGATTTATCGTGCTCCTCCATGTCAACCTTTCTCGCTCGTTGCAACAACTATGCCACTCTCTACACCTATTTACCAATATGTTGCATGGGTGAGTGATGTACGCAACTTCCCACGAAACCCATCCCGACAAATCTAAAATATAAACACACAGATTTAGTGAATCAGGGTAATACAAAAACACGATTTAGAGGATAGGATTGATGATGTATTGATTCATTATTAAAATTTTGTTAAGTTTGAACAAAAAAAAGTTAATAGGCTATTGTACTTTTAACTAAAACTAAAGCTGTACATTGTTTTACTTGAAATAAAATGTTTCTGAAATGAAAATAAAATGATTATCATTTTATTTCTATTATGAAATTTTATTTTGAAATATGAAATTATTATGAAATATGAATTTTATTTCTATTATTATCTATTATTATGAGCTAGTTATGAAGGCAACATTTCTCATTTTCATTTACTTTAACTTGACATAAAAACTAAAACAGAAATTAAAAAAAGTTTAAAAACACAACAAAATTACTAATAATTTAACTAAAACTAAAAATATAAAACTAAAAACTAGTTAAAAATATTAATAAAAACTATACTAGAATCTTAATTATACTAAAATATAGAGGCTAAGTTTAAAGGAACATACAGAATGTGCAGTGCCATATAGGAATGATCCAGACTTTGACCTTTAATATCCAGCCTTGACAAGCTTCAGTCTTGAGAAAGATTCATTTAGAGACCGCATGCTGGTTCATAAATAATTCAGAAATAAATTAATAAATTAATAAATCACTTTTTAAATCACGACAAAAATAGGCTATTTAATTCATGTTTTACTATTAATAATACTATACATGACTAAATTAATCATTTTAAATTGAAAAGGCACAATAGAAACAAGCTAATTATTTATCTGCTTTTAAATACTAAACAAAACTTCAAAACTGCCCAACGTAAAGATAATTTTGATAACTGTCATCAAAAGCATGGTAGCATGCAGCTAGTAGCCTATAATGCAGCATTTTGTATTCCTGGCATGCGAGGTTTGGCCTCATTGGTGAGGCCACCGTAGAGGTGCATAAATGTAAGGCACAGCACTTCCATACAATGATATAGTGCTATTTGCAAGTTCATATTAAAAGTTGTTTATGAACTGTCTTTCAAGCTCAAAATATTTGTATATTTATAAAAATCTAATGTGCAAATTCTGTTCAAGCAGCCCCATGCCTCTTTCATCTTCTTTCATCTCTCCAGGCTGTTGATTAATGACATCCTGCACCCTCCATATTGTAATAAGAAATAATTGTCATCTGTTTGCCATGCATGTTTTCAAGAAAGCGGGTGCCATGTGCTATATATTGCATGTTAGCTGTATAGCCTTTTTTTATACAGGTTTTATAACATATATATGAAATATATTGCCTCTTAGCCAATATTAGAGCTAAAACAAAAACAAAAAACGTTGGTAATTCTTACAATAGCTTTTTCATTGAGTGATTAAAAAGAAAATGTGAAGCTCCTGGACTTAAGTCAAATAATCCATATAGAAGTTAGAAGTTATTCAATATGAAAGGATAATTGACATGATGTTCATTTTTTTTTTTTTTTTTTATTACAATAAAAATGCTGTTCATAGCAGATAACTTAAAGCTGCAGTCCGTAGCTTTATAGGGTTAAAAATTATCCAAAATACATATTTGAGAAAATACATAACCAGACAGTGTTCAAAACTGCTTGCCTTAGCTCGATTCAAAGCGATAAGCTTGTAATAATGTTTTAATTCCAGTGGTAGCCATTTTAATATTTTGTTTACGTAATATTGTGTGGAACTTAACCAAACATATTGGTAAGCTGAACAGTGATATTTTTAAGTGTCATTAAAAGGCATAAATGTTTGGGGAAAAAATGGCCACAAGTAGTTTAAAATAATATTTTATATTATTAAAGAAATTATTTTAAAATGCTTTCATTGGAAAACAACCAAACAGAGGGGACGTCACCCAAATAAAACTTCTAAATATTCATACATTGTAAAAAAAAAAAAAAAAAAAAAAAAAATACATCAACTTGGATTTTTAAGTCATTTCAACTTTTTTTTGATGATTTAAAGCAATGTAAAAACATATGTTGTCATAACTTATTGATCATATAATATTTTACAGTGTAGCTCAAATTTTTTTTTTTTTTTTTTTTTACATATGATGAAGTTTATCAAAATATGTTTATAAAACCTTTTTTTTATATAAAATAGGCATAAAGATTTACTTGCACTGTGTGTGCAAATTATTTTAGTGCTTTTTAAGTCTACATTTTGGTACAATATTTAAGGGGTTTTTTATTGCATGAAACCAACAGCAATAAAAAAATCGTAAAACATGTGTTTTAAATTATACTTTTATAAGACGGCTTTTTATAATCGCGGACTTATTTGTCATTGACCAAAATACACGTTTTGACTGTCTGTCGCTGTGAAGACAAAACAGTGACGCGGAAGTGTAATGGTCAAAGAAGCGCAGAGTTAAGTGACGGTGTGAGTGAGTGAGGTAAACATCCTCCCACAAACGCTTTTTCAAATTTTGTGAGGGAAAGTGAGTCCGTGCGGAGCGCGAGCGCGTCCCACAATGCATTTGCCGCTCAGCGGGAAACAAAAATGGCGAGAGCGAGCGAGCAAAACCAGCCGTTTACCGTAATGTAAAACACTTCATGCGTTTGAATCATTTTGTAAAAGCAGAATCAAAACTATTCAAAGCGGAGCTCCTGTTGCCCGTTTATGGTGTAGTTCTTTGTGTTTGTGCGACATTGTAACCCGGGAAAGTGGCCGAATGAGGTAAGAGAGACCCAGACACCAGTCTGTTACAATACAACAAGGGGGTGTGCGGGGGGGCTTTCATGTCTCACTTTAACAGCAGGTTAAAATTACTGGCTTTAAACATGCGTTTTCTGATGCCAGTGAAACAGTTTGTTCAGGCTTTTGGACGGGAGGCTTTTATTTGTTGGCACATTGTTGTGAATGAGAAATCCTGCTAGCTCTCTCCAGCTATGCTGCTAACAAAAGAGGCTTTTTTGCTTTCACTGTCATTCTGTATGGGCGCTTCACTGACCAGCCAATACAAAGTGCACTCAGTCCCAGAGAAGATCCCACGGCGATTTTTACACGTGAATGCCTCTGAAATGTGCTCGAGGATAGTCTGGTACTACATTTTTCAGCCTTAATTGTTTATTTGACCAGGTGCAAACTGCTTTTTTTGTGTGTTAGTGTAGGCAAAAATGTGGTTGAATCATATTTTTATGAGCTGTTGTTTTGCTCATTTGACAGAGACTCAGCAAGTGCAGATAACCTGGCCGCCCATCAAAAGACACCTCCAAATCGCCAACAAAAGTCACCGGTGCCCTTGTCACGATTTCCCCTGAAAGATGGGCAGAGCGACACGGCCAGGCTCGCCAACAAGTTTGAAGAAGGGCAGGACGTCCTGGCCCGATGGTCAGATGGCTTGTTTTACCTGGGAACTATCTCCAAGGTGTGTAAGGGATCAAATACATTCAGACAAATCATTATATCAAAATATATTTAACATAAATAAATGGAAGTCAGATATTGACTTGAGTAAATTGTTTGAAAAGAAATTCACAGCATAAGGATGTAAGTAATGAAAGTAGCAAAGCTATGTAGGTAATCAGTTGCCCTGGGGCAACGGTTGTTTATACAGGTTAGTGCTCATTTTTACAAAAGTATTTAACCAATCAGAATCTAGTATTCTGGAATGTACTAGTGTATCGTAATAAAGTGCAACAGCTGCATTCTGGAAGTAAAATTCCCATTAATTTTCTCCATAGGGAAATAGATTTTGAATGATAACTTATGACTTGTTAAAGACAGACCTACTGTGAGCTCTGAGGTTGCTAATCGATGGCATGTGCTTTTGTTGAAGTCATCAGTTTGCGTTATTTAAACCGTATTTTTTAAATAATTGTGTTTAACAATAGAATTCCAGGTGATTAACATTGCCTGTGATTCTGTAAAGAAATTCAAATGAAATATTTGTGTGTATAAATGTGAGTGTGTGTAGATGTGTGTGTATTTTATACATATATATATATATAATATATAATATATATACACATATATACATACATACACACACACCTACAAACATACTGTAAATGAATATACATATATATATATATATATTTATGTGTGTGTATGTACAAATGTGTATATATACTGCATATATATAGTGTATATTAATTTACAGTATGTTTGTGTGTGTATATATATATATATATATATATATATATATATATACATTTAATTAAATGTAAAATTAAAAATAAAATGTAATAAATGTACAATACATTTGTATACATGTAATCAACGTTTTTAAGTCAATGTTTATATTTGTCATTTTTTTATTTGTCATTCGCAATACTTCATGGGATTGTAGTTCTTTCCCTCATTAAAGTCAATAAATACACAGTTGTCTACTGATTTTTTGTACTATTTTTGTTGTTGCCTCAAATCAAAGTTTGTAGTCTCTTTTTTTTTTTAAAGAAAAGAAAAGTGAATGGGAAAAATGCTCCTTGAGCCAAAATTGGGCAGGCACTGTCTGTTTCCCTCTATTATCACAATATAATCACCAAAAAGCTTGCTTCTATTTCGAGTAATCAGAACGTCTTTGATTAATGCTTTCCACAGATAGATAAACATAAGCATCGCTGCTTTGTGATTTTTGAAGATCAGTCTAAATCCTGGGTTCTCTGGAAGGACATTCAGACAGGTAAATACAAACTGCTTTACATTCATTGTGATTGAAGAATACTGATGCCCTGTTACCCATCTTTGTGTCTTGATGGCATCTCTGCGGTGGGTCTCAGTGAGAAGATCTTGTCATGAACATCCTGAGTTAGATTTATGAGCACACCATCCACTGACTGATTCTACGCCTAACTTTCATTTGCACATCATATTCCTTCTCTCTTTCTGATCATTTTAATAGAAGATGGGTCAGTTCTTCTATTATTCTGCTTCTTTCATGCTGTCTGACTTTGTGGTTTTGTTTTTTGTCGCCGTTTGGTTTCTCTTCCCCATCTCTTTCATTCAGCCTGAGTTATCTCTTAATTTGTCCCTGACAGTTGACAGACCTCAGAGTCTCCAGGCTTACACAAACCGTAAGTTCCACATCGAGCCAGGAGACAAGAATAGGGAAGGTACCTATGGCATCTGTCGCTGTATCTCTTGGTAACAATTCAACAAAGGCGTTCATGCATACGCATAAAAGAAACGTACTTATAGTTTTATCTTCAGTTCATATTTGTTTCAAGTGGCAGTTGCAGTGAAGTATTTGTGTTCACCATCACTGATGGTTGTCAACTATAGCACATCTTTCCTCCTCTTGTGAACTTTAGTGCTTTTCACATTTTCCATTAGAAGTTCGGAAATATTTTGGAACAACACCCTACCCCCCAAACCCCCTAGACATTTTTAGAGCTTCTGAATGCAGTCTCTCCCCTTCTCACAAATGTAGTCACTGTTCCCAGGTGTAATGGATAAGACTGTTCATTTCTTTATTTGTTTTTTCTTTTAGGGGACAGTGGAGGGGAAATGCTCTGCTCTATTTGTCAGAATGAAAGCTCCGAGCCCCCCAATGAAATAGTCATCTGTGACAAATGTGGACAAGGTAGACTGCCTCTATCCTTCTTGTAAATCGAAGTCACTTCTCTCAACCACATTAGGGATTGAGTTGGAGATTTCACTGCTGAACATCTCTTCCACAGGATACCATCAGCTATGCCATGCTCCCATAATTGACCCCAGTGTCATTGCCTCTGATGACAAATGGCTCTGCAGACAGTGCGTGTTCGCCACAACAACAAAGGTTTGTTGATGCCACATTCAATCCTGTTTTAAGCAATATCTTAACTGAATAATTATTATAGGTGTCCTGCCTATGACCCTCTTCTCATCATTTGCAGGGTTTTTAATGTGCAGACAGGGTGCTGCATTATATATAGTAGGATCCTAATAGGTCTGCTAAATGAATAAATGTAAATTATTTAATCATGTCAAAAACTCCTCTTGACCCATTGTTTTTACATATTAAATGACCTGTTCGAGATCAAGTCTTTAATGTTCTTTCCTGATACTGTCGCAACAGAAGTGTACCATAACTAGGGCTGGGCGGTATGACGGTATATATCGTTACCGCGGTAGAAAATGTCAACCGTAACAGATTTTTTTATTCCGTGTATATCGCGACATGCAAATAAGTGGGCGTGGTTAACTCGCGTGCAACGTGCGTAAGACTGAAACACAGCGAATTGTAAAAAGAAACACGGAGAAAGCAGATCAAGTGGATCCACAAAGGAATTACATTTTCTAAAGGGTTGTTGTTGTTAACGTGATATTTTCGGGGGGAAAGACGCAGCTAGAGCAGTGCAGCAGATTAGAGGAGTGCACGCTCGAAACGGGGAAAGCTGGACAACAACAGTTATCAATATCGTAACGAATAGAAATAACCTTAAATGTATAGTTATCTTTCCGTCTCTTATGTATAGTTTTTAAACACGCAAACAGTTTGCCGCCCGTGGTAATGACCATCCTGCTTGTTAAAGTGAATGTATAATCCTGTACCCTATCTGAGGCAAAATTACTAAATATGCATCGCGAGTTATATATTTCTAACTCCAAACAATTGACCACCGAACCAGCTGATAAAATCTTGCTTTGATTCGATCCGTGATTACAACTTGACACTCAAATTACTGATGCAGAAGACGCGCGCGTGCACACGCACTGAGGGAGCGCGGTGTTCACCTGGCTATGGTCAAATAATGACGCAGTTACAAGGTGTGTATAATTTAAACTAGGCTACTTTGTCAACACTAACAGTTGCTGCTGTTCGGTTTTCAAACTGCTGCTCTCCTTCTAGTCACTTCTGAACTTTTTGAACTATTGATTAAAGCGCAGGGTGACGGTTGACGGGTTGCCAGATATCACAAAAAGAGCAAAACAACAAGCCCCTTAAAAACGCAGTGTAGCCTAAGCAGACATGGCAAAAATGTACCGGGGAACATATCAATCAGTTGGGGGCAGTTCATCTAAAAGTTGATGAGTGTGTTTTGTTTATATTTAGCTATCTAAATAGTTTACCAAAGAAATAATTTACCAAATAAGAGAAACAGAAAACAATGTGAAGTACTTTTCATTTCTAAAGTATTTGGGTTTATTTATTATACAAAGCCCTTTTTGTCGATTTTTCGAGAATAACTACATATATAAATAACTATATCGTGAAATATATCGTTACCGTGAAATAAAATTAGTCATACCGTGAAATAGAATTGTGGTCATACCGCCCACCCCTAACCATAACCTTCATTCTTCTATGAGGGTTGTGGATGTGGGAATATATAAAGACTTTTATTTTATATATTCCCCCCCCCCCCCCCCCCCCCCCCTATATATTGGGGGGGGGGATATGTATACATATACAGTCAAAAGTTTGGAAACATTACTATCTTTAATGTTTTTGAAAGAAGTCTCTAATGCTCATCAAGCCTGCATTTATTTGATCAAAAATACAGAAAAAAACTGTAATATTGTGAAATAACATTACAATTTAAAAATAATGGTTTTCTATTTTAATATAGTTAAAAATATTATTTATTTCTGGGATGCAAAGCTGAATTTTCAGCATTATTACTCCAGTGTAATAGTGTCACATGATCTTTCAGAAATTATTCTGCAAATATGATGTAAATAAGAGTTTCGTTGATTATAACCAAAGACTATAGATAAAAGGGACTTTGTTATAACGGGAGTTTTGGCGCGAGTCCAGAACTCAGTCACTGATAAACTCTCGCCGTTTGATTGACAGCTCCAGCGATTGTAAAGGGAGTGTTCTTTGATTGCTTTCTAAGTTTCTATATATAATTTAATCACAGTTTAAATAACAGATTATTTAAGAGAAACAGTGTGAAGTGACTGGTTTGATTTACTAAAACCTTGATCATCTGACAAACATGTGACTGTACATGAATCATAACGTATCAGAAATCACTGGTCACAGATCAGGCATTAGAATTAACATGTTGTCGCATTACTGTCGAGTCCATATTGTAAAGGTCTGTTTGCAAAGCCAGCGCCGAAATTGCGACTGATGTATCAAAGAATCCACAGTGAAATGTACTGAATACAAATATATAATGCTAAACTGAGACATTCACATTGTTGAAAATAATCACATTCCTAGCATTGGGATCCTTTGGAAGGTAATTTCTTAAAGGTTATTTTTAGTCAAGTGATCCTGTATCGCTCCTCTCTCCTCGTCATTGAACGGTCTTTCACCTATCTATAGGCACATTCCATGACGAGTCGTTCTCTGGTGCTTGGTTACAATATAAGCTGTTTTTGGACTAACAAGGAAGTTTTCGGTTCTGTCAAAAGCTTAAGGACAATTTGATTTCTCAGTTCATGACCCCTTTAATTCATCCGTGCTGAATAAACATGTTAATTTCTTTCTTAAAAAAATCTTACTGACCCCAAACATTGTTAACAGTAGTATAAAATACAGTCAGTGCCTTAGAAATCCCAGGACACTCTACATGTTTTTTCCTGGTATGACTAGAAGGGATATGTAAACCCTGTTTTGAATAAATCTCCAGAATTCTGACTTAGTGACTCCATATGCAGGCTAGAAGCATGCATGTCTGTCATGAATTGTTGTGGTTGTATCTCTGAAATCATAGAGAGGCGGTGCACTGAAGAAGGGGCCAAATGCCAAAGCCCTACAGGAAATGAAGCAGTCTCTGCCATACGCCCTTGAAGATTTAGTGTGGGACCAGGGCCACAAGACCAACATCCAGCAGTGCTACTGCTACTGCGGAGGTCCTGGCGAGTGAGTGCAGCACACAGACACCATTACTGAAAAACAACTTTGTGTGATATAATTCTTCTTAAGATAATCCCCATAGTGCAGAGGATTGTAGATACACAATAACGCCTGCAGGAAGTAGAATTGTAATTATGTTCTCCTCCCACAGTTGGTATCTGAAGATGTTGCAGTGTAATAAGTGCAAACAGTGGTTTCATGAAGCCTGCATCCAGTGTTTTCAGAAGCCAATGCTCTTTGGAGACAGGTGAAGTACTGCTCTCGAATCATCCGAATAAAGTGAAACACAATGATTAATGTCTTGTCATGTTTAATAAAACTTCTGTCTTTTTTCTCAGGTTCTATCTATTTATTTGTTCCGTTTGTAATAGTGGACCAGAGTACCTCAAACGCCTGCCTCTGAGATGGTGAGTTTTGGACTGTTTTCACACTTGGTTCAATTGCTGCAGTGTGAAAGTGTATTTTAAACCATGTAGTATAGAACTGTAATATAGGCCATATCAGTAATCAGCCATAACATAAAAATAATTGACCAGAATTTCAGTGTTTATCTAAATGTTTTGTTTTAAATAGTTTAACCGAGGATTTTTGTGTTCCATCATGTGTGTTGTGTTCATTCACAGGGAAGACGTTGCACACCTGAGTCTCTATAACCTGAGTGTAATTCATAAAAAGAAATACTTTGACTCAGAACTCGAACTGATGACTTACATCAATGAAAACTGGGATAGGCTTCAGCTTGGCGAGGTATCAGTCTGTTTTGTGTATTTTTTTGTAATTGCACTAATGTTTAACTAGTGTTAATATCGCTTTATTTCATTTCTGGCTTTGTACCTCCAGCTTGCAGATACCCCTAGAGCAGAACGATATGAATGCATTCTGGAAGCACTTAACAGCAACCTCAACATGTGAGTTTATCTGTTTGCCCATCATGGGCATTCTGTCTTGATACAGTAGAGCTTGAATGAATTTATCTGGCCCTTTTAGCTTTAAGACTGTCAGTCCAAATCCAATTTTTGTGCATTTCCGATTGGAATCTGATCATATTTAGCAAGCGTTCTCTGATTTTTTTACAAATCTGTTTCAAGCTACATCTATATGTGGTTTGAAATCCTATTCAAATCGCATTTCTATAAATCCTTATTTAAGACCGCTCTGATCGGATTTCACATAGCTTTTCTGCCTATGTCACTTTCTCACGCCACGTAAACACGTCAGACCTCGTTGCAGAAACAAAGTTTTTTTTTTTCTGTCAATATGCCGGGCTCGCAGAAAATTATAATATAGTGGAGACATCTCATTGGTCCGGTGATGAGGTGTCTTCAATCATTGCCATGGAAACCACAACAGATATTTTGGTATTTTGAAATACGAAAGAGAGCCACGGGACACAAAAATCGTATTTGAACAGTTGAGATACACAGTGTTGACCGTCAATCATGTAGACCAGATTCCAGATTTTCCAGATTTGTATTGACAGTATGAACATAGTCTTTGACCTGTTGGGTTCTAGGTTCATGTCAGGGAAAGAGATAAAGAAGAAGAAGCACCTGTTTGGATTACGAATTCGCTTCCCACCGGCCCCCCAGAGCTCCGAGCTCCTGTCAGACCGAGAGCCAGAAAAAGCTTCCCATGAGATCAAAATCAAAGGCAGAAAAGCCTCAAAACCCCCTCTTTTATCCAGGTTAGTCATCACTTGTTTCTTCCTTAATATTATAAGTAAATTTAATATTTTATATAATTTAAGTTAATTAAAATTACATAATTTTTTGCATTTATTATAAAAATTAAATATGACATTTTATTACATTTAATTTTGTAGCATTGTCACTAATGGAGCAGTGAAGAAAGGAAAGAGGAAGCATCACACACACTCTTTAGAGATGTTGGCGAAATTGAGAAGATCAAGTGAACTATTGGCACAGGTAAATAAGTGACATTATTTTTTTACGTACGTTGCTGGCTTTATTTAATGTCCATTCCAAAAAGTTTCATGTAGACATAACATTTTGTTTTGAACCTTTTTTCTATGAAGAATAATGGGAAGTTTCCAACTCTAGACAATAACTCAATAGACCTGATGGCCTCAAAAAGGTGAGACAGAGATCAACACAAAATGAATCTTGTAGTTTTTGAAATGAGGCCAAATTACATTTATTAAATTACAAAAATATTTGTTTTTGTGTGTGCCAAAAGTGAAAAATCTTTGCCTTCATCAAGTACCTCAGATGTTGAATCTGTTGGTGCCACCAGCACAAGTGAAACTACCTCAACCAGCCTCTCAAGGCAGTCCAGGTGATTTCATTTTCAGTTTAAGGATTTCATTTTTCAATTTGTGACATTATGTTCGTGACAATTATTCTCCCCTCAGTACTGTGAATATGTACAAAAAATATATACACTACCATACAAAAGTTACCAATCATGAGGTCAGTATATTTTTTTTGGGAAAGATTTTAACTTTTTTTCCCCATAAAGGATGCATTAAATTGACCATTGTTTCCCATTCACACAATAGGAAACAATGGAATATCTTAAAATTGAAAAATAATATTTCACAATATTACTGACACTGATACTTTGATCAAATAAATGCAGTAATGTTGAGGATGAGAATTCTTTCAAAATCATTAAAGAAAATGTTACCAACCCCAAACTTTTTAACTGTAATTATTTAATTGTTTAAAATTCATAAATTATAATTTTCTGTACATTTGATCATTTATGCTTATTTTTGTTTGTTTTTTTATAGTCTTTTTAACAGTATTTTAATTTAGTGTTTTTGTGGGATTGCAATGCATGGAATGTATAATAAAATATTAAATTAACATTTAAAATTATTTTACGAGTGGCTTCTTCAGGCCTCAACGTAATGCCCATGCGGACCTCTACCATTGATAAAAAACGTCATACTGAATTGTTCAAAAGCGTGATGCATGTACCCTGTTCATCTCCAGTTTGGGCAGTCCGAGCGGACCACGGACTGGATGCTTATGGCCCACCTTCACACAGCCCCCAATAAAGAGGCGACGGGGACGTCCGCGACGAGCACTGCAGCCCCCAAATCCAGAGATTTCCCCTCCCTGCAACTCAGAGCCGCAACCCGAGCCCAGCCCCCTCCCCTCCTGCCTCTACAGCGGCATGGACATCATGCAGGGCCTGGACCCCGACACCCAGCTCAACCACCTCAAGAGCTCCATTAGCACTTACTTCGGAGCCGCGGGTCGCCTGGCCTGTGGGGAGAAGTACCGTGTACTCGCTCGCCGCGTCACTGACGACGGAAAAGTACAGTACTTGGTGGAATGGGAGGGCGTCACTGCCTCCTGAGCTTCATACGGGTGTATTTCTGGTGAAAGTACGGTCCGCTTTGGCCCTAGTAATGTACTATATTTTGTGACAAATAAGGAGGGAAGTGAATGTACATGGATGACTGAGGTAATTGAGGGGCCTCAGGACTACCATAGAGATGAAGAGATGAGACTTTGTAGAGTTTTGTGTGTGTGTGACCTGTCTCTGTGGAAATTTAAATGGACTGCCTTCACATGGACTGGATTCACACATTGAAGGTGGCTGTAGTTTCAGGTTAAAGACATAATCAATTCACTACTATGTGAAAATAACCCGAGTCCTCGCTTTTTGTCTCCGATGTGCAGGTGCCTTAAGGGGTTGTGAAACAGATACTATATATGCTGCTGGAGACTGAGGACTTTTTTTCTACTTATTCAGTTAAATATTTTCTCATAGCTCACATTGCCAAGAGGAGAGGGCGCTATTGTCAGGAGGGCACTTTTATTTTACATTTCAATTGATTGCACATAAGTTCTCATTCTGTACATCCAGTATTGTCTCGCCTCAGTTTAAACAGCCTAGCTTGTGATTTTCGTTATGAAATGAGATTGATGTTAAAAAACCCAATGTAAAATGGTTAATTCTTCTAATGCCACAAAACAAAAATGAAATATATGATTAGCATTAATATTTACATCAGATCTTGGTATTTTCTGGGACGTTCCACAAATTCCTAGGTGGCTAATAGAAAGATTTTTGTATTATTTGTTATTTGTTTGTAATTTGTCTCCTGAGGGTCTCTTTGTAATTTAAAAAAAATATGTATATCTTTAAAGCATATGACAGAGCGCTGTAGCGTTGAGAGGTCTTCATATATCCCCCCCTTAAAAAAAAAAACATGTTCAGCTGTTGATATCTGCCATGGGAATTTAAGTTCTAAAGTAAGAGGTTTTTTTAAGGTTTAATAAGTACCATTTTAGTTTAATTTCCTCATTTTAAATCCGATGTCTAATTTCCATTTTTGTGGGGCAGGGATAGTTATTTGTACTTTTTGTTATACTATGCAATGAATTAAACAGATTTGTGTATTTTTTTTATATTATATTTTATTTGCAGCTTCAGCTTCTCATTACAATCAGAAATCAGCAGCAATAGTTTTTGTTACAATTGACTCAGGCTTTTTGTGGTGCTATTTATTGCTTTCAAACGGTATACACTAACAAATTGTCCATTTGTGAGAGCACTCAGGATACTTTACAGCTTTGCTGTAAGATTTGATAGGACATCCAAATGAGATTTTCTACTCTCAGCTTTGTATTTTCATACATTTCTAAAATCCTTGAGTTTTTTTTTTTTAATTTAGGTGGAAAACTTTTTTGGCCTGAGAATGCCCTGTTCTCCATTATATTATCTTACACCTTGCAGAGGGTGGAAGTAGTGTTAGTATCAGGCAAGCTTTGGACTTAAACAATAATACCTCCTTATTTCGAGGGAACAAATTCCTATGAATATTAAGCTCTTGTTAAGTTGTGTATGAAGCATTATTCAGTTGGTGTACCAGTGTTAGTAAAGCTTGCTTTGTATTTTACTGGCTTTGAGCAGGCTCCTTTAGCCAAAGAATAAAGATCTCAAACCTTATTGGTGTAACTGGACTTTTTTATTTAGACATTTGGGGACAAAGGTCACTATTTCGACACAATTTACAGAAATAATTTAATAAGCATGTCTGAGGAGCTAATTTATTTGAACATTTATTTAATGTATGATATTGACACTACCAATATATTTATTTTTAAAATGCTAAACATGCAATTAACATCTTATGGCCCAGCTAATTTATTTGCTACAATATAACTAACTTTAGCTATAAAACGGTGAATGTATTACGCGAATTGAGATTTGTTTATATAAAAACAACCAGAGATTTTACCTTAAAATCTTTTGACACACTTTAACCCTAACAAATAAACAGCAAAAACGGCTGCTGTTAACCAACACACAGTCCAATGTAAATAATAACAGTACAAAAACCGAGCAACAGAACAACTTTACAGCAGTAATATTCGCGCTAACATTCGCGGCCATACCACGTGAGCATTACGTCACTACAGTGAAGACGGTTTTTCGTCTCAGCCAATCAACTGACGCGCCTTGTGTTTAGATGTCGCTGCAGTGAATGCTAAGCTAAATCTGCTGGAAAATAAGGTGTTTCTTCTGCACAAACCTGCTGTTTTGAAGATGCTGGTAAGCAGTTGTTCACTAGTATAGAAATACTTTGTCAGTTAGCACGCCTAAAAGCTGCGAAGAGCAGTAATGGATAATAGAGTGACCGTCTGCTCCTTGACAACCTGTTGAATGCATGAAATGAAGTCAAATCATTTGAGTTTAAAGCAACACCAAATGTGCGAGTGCAGTGTTGATTTCAGTTGAGTCCATTTAAACATGGATAATAACATTTATTTACAGTGTTCTTCATAACAATCACCAATGTTCAAAGACAACAGGGGGTTGGTAGAGGATGTTTTCTCCTTAAGGAATCAGCTGCGATTGACCGAGAAAAACCTACAGTCAGTGGGGGAACAACTGAGGTGAGGCATTTTTCTCTTGAGAGTTGTTGTTCAAATAGATTGTGCGTTTTACATGATGATAGATCTTTCAGATATGATTAATAATGCAGATATGATTCTGAGATTCTCTTTGCTATGTTCCTGTGTGTTTGTGTGAACAATTTCAATTTACAAACTCAAGTAACTGAACAACAGTAACTTGCATATGAATACATAAAGGATGTACATATTAAATATATACATGCATACAATTAAATCTCCAGTAATATATCTTTCATTAGTGTGCTTACTCAGACTCATATGCTCCAAGTAGTAAGAAAGAAAACCAGTATTAAAGAAATAGCATAATCATCAAACATTTTTGTATTGTAATACAAAACAAGCTTCTTTTTTTAAAGACGAAATAATAGCATGTATTGTTTTTTAAAAGGAAAGAGACTTAGACATAAATTATCATCCATTAAAAAAAATTCAAGGATAAATAATAATCAATCTCTAAACAAATAGTATAAAGTTATTTATATAATTTAAGAAATTGATTATAAGTTATCCATAGATAGATTTTTTTATGGGTGATTCAATTTTTACATTTATTTTCATTTGCTATGTTGCCTTGGCCCACATAATTTAAAATGTTGTTTGTTTTGATACTTTTTTGTAAATATTGACATTTTAATATTAATAATGTTTTTGTTACAGCACTACTGCTAGGTATTATTGCACTTGTCGTTGTATTAGCATTTCACTCATTTCAGTCGATCAGGAAATGACATCGTTGGTGAGGATAATAACAGGAGTTTCGTGGATGGATTCCCAGGTCGTCTTACATTAGAAGACCTTCAGAAGCCTGATCCAGAATATATTCACCCAGAGCGGAGGGCATGTGCACGTATATCTTCCTGTGACTGCAGGGTAAGACACAAGATGCAGCAGATAAATGGACTGAAGTAGTGTCGCCTTTTATATGCTTGTTCTTAAAGGAGCTGTATGTAAGATTGTGGCCAAAACTAGTACTGCAATCACTTTCAAATTACTGTAGAGTGGTGTATCCCCTCCCCCTCCTCCCTGACTCAAGGTTGCCAGATCGGCTGCAGGATCCAGCAGGAACGTGACGAGCTGCAGCTGTGGTAACTGAGCAGAGCTGGCAACCCGGATGCCGCAACACTACTGACTTCGTGATTGGTAGATAGGTGGAGGGTGGAGCATCAGACCAAAACACAACATCAACATCAGTTGAGGGCTGCAACTTCACTTTTTAAATGACAATATCCTGGCCAGACTACTGTTGTCAGTGATATAAGTATTTGAAATGTACATGATTTCTTAATGTCTAGTGACATTTCAGGGCCATTTTATGATTAATTGAAATACATTTCTTACATACAGCTCCTTTAAAATAGACCCGAAAACCTACAGATTTCAAAGGTTTTTGTCTTATTTAACATGTGTTTATCTGTAGTCAGACAGAGAAATGGAGACGGAGACGTCTGTTCTCAGGAGGAAGCTCAACACTATCAGGCAGGAGAACACTTCTCTGGTCATGGAGAACAGGCAGCTCATCGGTGACATTGAAGCTGCTCAGCTTGAGTTAGCCAGCTCAAGGTCCAAGGTAATGCTCTTCACATAGCGATTGGTTATTATAGTGTTTGTGGTACTGTGTTGAGTTTAAGTGGAGTTATATAAGAGGTACACTACGGTTCAAAAGTTTGGGGTCGGTAAGATTTAAAAAATAAAATAAAAAAGAATGCTTTTGAAAAGTCTCTTTTGCTCACGAAGGCTGCATTTATTGGATTAAAAATACTGTATAAACCGTAATATTGTGAAATATTATTGCAATTTCAAATAACTGTTTTCTATTTTATTTTATTATATTATAAAATGTAATTTATTGCTGTGATGGCAGAGCTGGATTTTCAGCGTCATTACTCAAGTCTTGTAAGTAATTGATTCTTCAGAAATCATTATTTTATGCTGATTTTGTACTCAAGAAAATACTATGTTTGGAAAAGAAATGTTTGGAAAAGAAATTCTACGGAGCTACTAAAGACACATATACAAAAAATATGAGATGGGAGGACATTTTTTTTTTTCAATGCTTTTGTGTTCTCCCGCAATTACATAGTTGGGTAATTACATTGTATATAATTTGCGGGCGGGCATAAGGGAGCTGCCTATCAATATCCGGGGTATTGAAATGGCTTTTGAATGCACGATCATGCGTACTCTGTGTATAGGGAGCATTGACCACACATTTTACAAGATAAGAGATTTATCAGTGACGCTTAGGATCTGTTGCACACCAAATCTTACGACATCGTCCTATCAGTCATCTCTCCTTACTCTCTTCACATGATAAATGAAATCTGATTTGCTGTGTAATCATGTAACCAACTATCACAGCAAGCCTAACCATGTCCATTTAGGGGCTCCGTAGAATGTGTTATTCATTTTTCAGTGCTTTTCCGAATTCAGATTTAGGCTTCGGGCACATCACTAATTAAAAATCTTCAGGATTCTTTGATTAATAAAAAGTTCAAAAGAACAGGATTTCTAATATAAATCATTTGTAACAGTAATGTGTACTTGCTGAATAAAAGTATTAATTTCTTACTGACTACAAACTTTTTACAGTCGACATAATTTATTTACAGTATTAGGCATCACTATTACTATTGCTCATACTTGGGTTAAGAGATTTGAACACACTTTAAGTACAAATGATTGTAGTAGGCTAATCCATACAATTTGTGGACTATATTTCAAAAGTCTTCTGAAGCCATTTAATAATTTTTTTTGTTGAAAACTGATCGAAACTTGAAAATCTAGAGCTGGGGTGTCCAAACTCGGTCCTGGAGGGCCACTGTCCTGCAGAGTTTACTTTCCTCAACACGCCTTCCTGGGCTGCGTTTTCCCAGAAGCATTGTGAGCTAAGTTTATCGTAGAGAACATTGGTGCCAATGGTTCTACGATCTACTTAGGCTTACAATGCTTTTGGGAAACGCAGCCTAGGAAGTTTCTAGTATGCCCAGTAAGATCTTGATTAGCTGGTTCAGGTATGTTTAATTGAGGTTGGAGCTAAAATCTGCAGGACAGTGGCCCTCCAGGAGCAGGATTGGAGACCCCTGATCTAGACATCCAGTCGTCCACCTAAGCCAGGGCTGGGTAATTTGGCCCCCTAGATCCACTTTCCTTTAGAGCTTAGCTCCAACATTGATCAAACTCACCTTCCTGTATCTTTCTAGTAATCTTGCAGATAATAGGCATGTTTGACTTGACGCTGTGCTGCGCAGAGCGATCGGTGTGTGACATAAAAGAACCTTGAGAGCGATTAGAGAGCAGATGGCTCTGTATGCTTTCCAATCGCTCTCAACTTACTTTGTCATACATCGATCAGTCTGTGCAGCACCACTTCAAGTCCTGGTGTGTTTGATTAGGTTTGGAGCTAAACTTTGCAGGAAAGTGGATCTCGGGGTCGGGGTCAGAGTTGCCCGCCATGACCTAAGTGGTCCTTGGCACGTGCTTATGAGAAGTAGTGAAGTCTGATTCATTAAAGAATAATTTTTTGGAGTTGGATTTTTCAATGAACCATTTCACAAAATGGGTCTAAATGGTTTGTTGATGATTCATTGATTCAGTCACAGTGGTTAACCTTAAATGTACAATATATAAGATTTTTGTAATAAAATATCCAAAAATCACTTGCACAGTGTGATATATTTTCTGCAGTTGTGAACTTACAATATCCCAAAAGTTCCCAAAGATTTTTAATTTCAGAGAAATTCCAATTAAAAAAAATGGCTCGTCCCTGGTCGTTGTCGCCTGTCAATGACGTAATATCCGCGTTATCCCTGATTTCCGCTTTTACTGCCATAGTAACCATGGCGACAGACGTGGACAACTGCGGCACGCTCACGCTGTTGTTGTTTCGTTCAAACATTATGGACCATGGCAAGCAGACTTTGGGACAAATGGAGAAATAAAACGAGGATCAATATCAGCGTGGTGTTTTTGAGATGCCGAGAGCTCCATGTCCGCGACTAACTTCGACTTGACAGAGACGCCGCTATTGCATGTACTTTATTACACAGGTGAGCAAATGTACATAAAACGAATCAATGTTATAAAGCTCAACATGATGAAATGTTAGAAGAATATGATCAGTATGTTATTCTAATGTTGATCTATCTAGCTTACTGCTAGTCTCATGCAGCCAACAAACAAACACATAGAATAACATTATTACTTTCAACACACTCAAATGCTGTTTAGTGTGATAGTGTAACGTTAGACCAAGCGAAACAACCCTGCGTCAACCTACAAGTTTAATTCGTCAAATAAACTGACCTGTGTGAGTAGTAATTCAGCACTTGCGGGTAGTTCGGTAGAATGAAATGTCCTCTATCCTTTATATCCGTGTGACTCGCGTGTGGCGCTGATATCTGTCTCTCATTAGCAATCGCGACCTGCTTCATACCACAGTCATGTTAAAAACATGAATGTTTTCACTTATCCATAAACATTATTAGATCCATCGGCATGACGACAAGTTTCATTATTCCGCTTATGCGTCATCAACCTACGCCTTTGTTATTGTAAGAGGTTAGCGACCCCTAGCGGCAAAAAAAAAAAAACATATTGTAGCTTTAAAGGGTTAGTTCACCCTAAAATTCTTTCATTAATTACTCACCCTCATGTCGTTCCAAACCGTAAGACTTTCGTTCATCTTCGAAACACAAATGAGGATATTTTTTATTAAATCTGAGAGTTTTCTGTCCCTCCATTTGCAGTTACGCAACTACCACTACCACTACTCAACTGGTTCCAATGAGAACCCATCAAAAAATCTTCCGCAAGAACCAATGAGGTTCATTCTCGTGTTACGCATCATGTTTGAGCTTCAGCAAGAACCAATGAGGTTCATTCTCGTGTTACGCAGCACGTTTGAGCTTCAGCAAGAACCAATGAGGTTCATTCTCGTGTTACGCAGCACGTTTGAGCTTCAGCAAGAACCAATGAGGTTCATTCTCGTGTTACGCAGCACGTTTGAGCTTCAGCAAGAACCAATGAGGTTTGTTCTCGTGCGTCAAGCAGGTTCGGTTGAGCTTCTGTTTATATTCACTGATTAATGTTTATATTATTTAGAAAAATTATCTAAACTACTCAATTCTATGGATTAGTTTTAGATCTCTTTATGAACTTTTTGAAGCGTCAAAGTGTCAGTTGCGTAGCCTTCAATAGAGGGACAGAAAACTCAGATTTCATCAAAAAGATAATTTGTGTTCTGAGGATGTAAGTCTTACGGGTTTGGAACTACATGTGGGTAAATGATGACAGAATTTTAATTTTTGGGTGGACTATCCCTTTAAACTGAACTCCCTAGCAACATGCTTAGTAACAAGCTTTAAACACCTTAATGTCAGCATGAAATGAAAATCTAAAATTTTGCTCCATTGGTGTCATAACTCGATCTTCCGGTGAAACAACTGATCTCTCTCTGGTATCTCTGGGTTCTTCAGGTATTGTTCGCAGCTGATGTTTATTTTATTTACTGACTTTTGTTGTATAGATTCGTATGTTGGGATCCACTGTGGGAGCTAGGACCTCTAGTGTGTCTTTCATGAAGGAGCAGATTCTGGGTCTAGAAGCAGAACTGGACACCCAAACCAAAGCTTTAGAGTAGGTGCATCTATTCTACCACTTATAGCTTCCTAGAAAAATCAGATGCTTTTTCTGTCATATATCTGGTGCAGCATATTCTTGTTTCTTCAGGGCTGCAGAGCAGAAATTGGAAGAAAGCGAACAGACAGTGATGCAGAGTAGCAGGCTGGCGGAGAAGCTCAGAGATGAGCTGAGAGTTGTTAAAGCTGAGTTGGCTGAAAGAACACGTCTGGGGAAACGGTATGAGATTAGTTATGCTAATGAAAACTTCAGACTAATTCATCTTGGGAGCAGTAATCTCTTTAAGCTGGAATTAACTCAAATGTACAAGAAGTCTTTTTGTGATTCTTGAAACACCGCAGCTTAAAATTCTCTGAAAATTCTCTTTCAAAGTGCGGAGCAGCAGAGAAACCAAGCGCTCCGAAATGCAGAGAAGCTCACGGTCACCTTCAAAGAATACAAAGATGATGTTTCTGAAAAACTCAGGACGGTAATCTGACTAAAGCTGATTGATATAAATCATTCTGTGTTCAGAGATATTACTCCCTTTTCTGTTCCATGCATGTGACATGCATGTCCTGCATTGTTGAAGGTGTTGGAGAGTGAGGGTCAGCTGAAGGTCAGTCTGATGGAGTGTGACAGAGAGAGAGCGGAGCTGGAGAGGAAGTGTGCTGAGCTGGAGAGAGAGAAGGAGGGTCTACGTCACAACATCTGGTAAGAGAGGATTTCTTAAACTGATCTGTTGTTGTGGACTATGAAGATCATTCATATGATGGTTAATATAATGTCAATATAATACACACTACAGTTGAAAAGTTTGAAAAAAAAAAAAGTTTACAGTTGAAACTCTTTTAAATGATCTTTTTCTGATTTTTAAAATGTTTTTGAAAGAACTCTTTTATGCTCACCAAGGATGCATTTATTTGATGGAAATTCAGTAAAAACACTAATATTGTGAAATATTATTACAATTTAAAAGAACATGATCCTTCAGAAATCATTGTAATATGCTGATTTGAAGAAACATTTCTTATTATTAATGTTGAAAACAGTTGTGCTGCTTAATATTGTGAGAACCATGATACATCTTTTTGATGACATAATAAATTGGAAATCATTATGTTTTTGCTGTTACTTTTGATCAATTTAATGAACCCTTGCTGAGTAAAAGTATACATTTCTCTCTAAAAAAAACAACAACTACTTACTGACCACAGACTTACAAACAGTGGTGTATATTCGGTTGAGGTAATTGACTACATGGACACAACTTTTTTTAGATCAATAATTCAGTAATGATAAGTAAATCAATATTTAAGGTCAAAATGTATATAGATGTACCAAAATAAATTATAATCATAATAAGTATTTTTGTCTTGTTTTCCAGTATGAATATCTTAACATTCTGAAAACAATTTACCTGAATAACAAAGAATATTAAGATTTAATTTTCCCAAGGAACATATGTTGAATTTGTTTATCTTAAACCAAAATATTTGAAAACAGAATGTTGTTTTTACATTAATGTGACAATCAGTAGATTTTGCAACGATACACATATCATCTAATATGTTCATCAGCCAAAAGAGCCGATCACTTGACGAGTTATCAGCTTCTAGCCTGATTGGAAAAGGTAAATTGCTCATGTTAGTTGTTACTGGTGTTTCTGTTCTCTGATCAGTGAGCTGAAGGAGGTTCACGGCCGCTCTGAGTCTCTCTCCGCTGAGCGTGTGCAGCTGCAGTCTCAGGTTCAGCAGTTCTCAGATCAGCTGAAACAGCTGCAGAGGGAGCTGGCTGAGAAGGAGGCGCAGCTGCAGGAGGTGGCGGGGCTGAAGAGAGAGAACGAGGACCTGCGGCTCCTCACGGCCTGTCAGGAGCAGAGGGTGGCTCAGGCCCACAGAGAGAGAGAACAGGACAGAGTCGAGCTGGCCAGCCTAGAGAACGTACTGGACTTATTACATCTGAGAGAGGTGCTGGAATGCACACACATACACACACACACGTTGTGTTTTCATGTTTTATGTGGACTTTCCATAGACATACTGATTTTTATACTGTACATACTGTATATTCTATCCACTTACACTAAACCTACCCCTAAACCTTAGGGACTGTTAACACGACACCGTTTTCAACTAAAATCAGAAGACTTTTTCTGTGTTTTGGCTGTTCTTTTACATGACAACGGCATTTTGGTGGCTTGAAAACGCAAACTTTTGAAAACAGGTTTCAAAGTGCAAGTTTTTGAAAACGACACCCTTATCATCTCCGTGTAAACTACAAAAACGTGAATCTGTGAAAACTGTGACGTCATGTGCATGCGTAGGCTATTACGTGTTTAGTCTATTGGCTTTTTTTTCAAATGAAAAGGATACAGATACAGGTGAAACTCGAAAAATTAGAATATCGTACAAAAGTTCATGTATTTCAGTAATTCAAATTAAAAGGTGAAACTAATATATTTAGTATATATAACTATATACAGAGGGCCGACATTTCTGTATTTAAAATCCTTTTTTTTATTGATTTCATGTAATATTCTAATTTTCTGAGATTTTGAATTTGGGGTTTTTATAAGCTGTAAGACATAATCATCAAAATTATAACTTTTGCACGATATTCTAATTTTTCGAGTTTCACCTGTATTAACAGTAAGAAATAAGGGGAGGAATACACAATCACAAGTGGTTATAAGAATAAGAAAGTCATCACAATATAACATTTTGTCATCATGAAAAATTAAAGGTTCCTTTCAACAGGCTCAAGGATGATGAATGTTTTGAATCCTTTGTGTTCAAAGGTTTTGACATTTTCTTAAAGAAGGTAAAACAGGACTTTATATCAGAGGAGAACATTCTAAAATTGGGGTTACAGTGAATGTTTCTGGCTTTGTGAAGATGAAATTTACCCAGAAGTCTATATAGTAACTATATAATAATATAGTATTATAAAGATTAACATCCTTAGAATGAAAATCAGACACAAAAATATATAATTTGTGTAATTTGTGTCTTTAGGCATGTGCGTTCGGCTCGAGTGCACTGTTGTAAAAGAATGTTTATGTGCGCGGGTGCGTAGTCTTTCTTTACAGAGTGACATCGCTAACTACTTGTCTGCCATGCATAATATAGGCTTATTTGTTGTTTTCCTGGATCTGTGTGAACTGGGATCGTTTTGATAATGTTGTCATCTGTACAAAGAAAAAACTTTTCCGTTGTGGGAACATTTTGTCCTTATAAGTAGGGTTTACCAGGTGCCACACACAACCACAAAGACCTTTTAAATGAATTACCTTTACAATTTAATGTCATTGTGCACATTTAAAGGGATAGCTCCCCTAAAAATTTAAATCCTGTTATAATGTTGTTCCAAACCTCTATGACTTTCTGTCTTCAAGATAATGAACAAAAAAATTGTTCATGCATTGAAAGTCATTAGGGTCTAAAACAGGGGTCTCAAACTCAACTTAACTGGGGGCCGCTGGAGGTTGAGTCGGGGGTCAGGCTGGGCCGCATCAAGTATTCCACAAAAAATAGTATTCAAGTATTCCAAAAAAGGAGCACAACTGATCCAATCTTCTCAATATTTATTATTAACGTTTCTTCTGAACTGTTCCTCTGAATTTGAACATTCCTTTCTGTACATGATTGGTTCTTCATGAGCTGTCCTTCTGACAGTTGATTTTACAAACTTTCTTTGTCTATAACACATATTTGTGATATTCATATTTGCTTAATATGTCCTTTTTATTTTATTTATACAACACATTAATGATATTGAATGTTTTTTTTGGAAGGCACATTTCCTTTTATTATACTTAGAAAAACAATTATTGCTTTTGAAATGCAAATATTTGCAGTCATGTCTGCCCGTCTTATTGAATTCTTTCTACACATGTATAGTGTCTCAAATTACTGACTGCACAAATCAAAGCAAACCTTCTTATCAACCTGTTGGACATATTACAAGCTCAAAATTATTATTCACACATTGTTTTAGAGCAGGGTCTCTCTCCAACATGTCGCTCGCGAGCTACCAGTAGCTCGTGGCCTGATTGGTGGCAGCTCGACAAGGGGCCGTTCACATATCGCGCTCACATATTTGAAATTCGTTATTTCAAATGTAGGCGCGCGGCAAGCGCGCTCATAATTGAAGCGACGCGCTCATTTTTTCCAGGCGCAGTCGGGGCGCAGTATGTTTGTACTTCGCGGTTGTCTATGACAACTATTGACAACAAACCCACTGTAAACTGTCACGAGACTCTCTATGGTAGCCCATAAGGGATAAAAAAAATATTTTATTTTTTTTAAAACGCGGCACACGCAACGACGGGCCGCACTAACATTAAACTTAAATGTCAAGTAGGGGGCCACAAAATATGCGGGCCGCGAGTTTGAGACCACTGGTCTAAAACATCATTGGACCCCACTGACTTTAATTTTATGGACAGAAACAGTTCTTATAATAATTCTTCAAAATATCTTCTTGGCTGTGGAATGACTTGTGTTTCAGAATCGGGAAGGTGCACTGTGTGTGAACCCTTGTTTGCTGTCCGCACTGTCTTACACAAGCACCACTGAATCTCTCAAACACAAACCTGGTGAGCATCTAACTCAGAACAGGATACTGCTGCCTTCCTGAGACTTATCCTTCGCTTATCCATGCTTCTTTTGTATTTTGTAGTATTTTCCTGGACAAACTTGCTTTAACCTCTCCCCTGTTCATGTAGGTGAGGGCTATCAGAAGCTGTTGGCGGTGCTTCAGACGGTTGAGAGGGAAAAGACCCGGCATGCCAGTGCTGCTCAGGGGCTACAGGAGAGACTGACGAGAGCCCAGGAGGAGATCTCCTCCCTCCAGACTTCTATCACAGAGAGATCCTCTCACTACCAGCAGCTCCACAATCAGCTCCTGGACAAGGCTACTCAGGCCACCTCCTTAGAGAAAGAGGTAAGCGTCACATCAATTGAATTCTACCGGGTACCATGAAAAACATAATTTTACTGCATTGTCTTTGCTGGCTGCACACATAAAGTAAACTTTTAAAAAATCACTGAAAAAAGTATCCTAAACGCCTGAGTTTGGATGATTTTAATGAGTCATTCGGTAACACTTTATTTCAATAGTCCACTTAATATATTTTACTAACTATAAGTAACTTTGCAGCCACATGCTAACTAACTCTCATTAGAGTATCAGCAGACTGTCTGCTTAATATCTGCAAACTCTTTATTTTGATGCTCCCCAAAAGACATTCTACTGACTATAAATAATTTAGCAAGTACATCTCAACTTATCCTACTAACCTGAACCTAACAGTTTACTAATACTCTGAGAGTTAGCTGACATGTAGTTAACTAGTTACTTATATTTAGTAGAATGTCTCAAGTGGACCATCGAAATAAAGTGCAACCAATCATTCTATCAATCTATCAGAGAAGTTACTGAACCGTAATTAATAACTTTTATGTCTCGAAATTAAGCAAGAACTCTTACTATGTGTATGGACTACTTTTGGAAACTTAAATGAGTATGCATCACTGCATCAAATCTAGAAACTGAAACGTATAAAATAAAAGTAGTTTGTGTCATATGCAAGAGACACACTCTCATTGGCCCTCATTTATCAAAAGTGCGTACACCAAATTTCCAGCGTACACCCAAAACCACGGTGACTTTGAGATTTATCAATATGGACGTTGGTGTACGGCACGCTCAAATCCTACGCCAGCTCAGGAGGTGGTGTACGCACGTTTTGAGTTAGTGCAGAAATGCGCAGAAAAACAATTCCTAACACCACAAAACGCACTGACAAACTAAAAGATATGATATATTATGACCAACAACAACAACATAGTAATTATAAACTTCAGTGTTTATTTTTGTGCAACATGGACTTCAATGTTTAATTTGTGTGACTTTACCAAAGCATTTGATTTGTAGCCATATGTATTCCTTCAGTTGCGAGCCTGTGCGCTTTACCCTGACGTTTCAGGGTTTGGCCCGGCAGGTGCGCACGGACTGGGTTCGGTAATGAAAGGCTTTCAATGACCAAAAAATAATTCAGACTGACAAAATAATAAAAAATACATTCTTCTTCTTTTAAATAATAATAATAATAATACAAATAAATAATAATAACGACGTTCTTCTTCTAAATAACAACAAGCGTCATTAATAATAAAAATAATAATAAGAAGAAGAATATTACAAATTGTCATGCAATTATTAATGTGAATGAATGGTACTCCACATCACATCATCATCGTCACTATTGTACACCCCAATACATGTGACGTGATTCGAAATTGAATGCTAATTGTTTCAAAAGACGTGCTGTAAAATAATGCATTGTGATAGGACATTTCTGCTCCACGTCGGAGAAGTTTCTCTTCTATGCCGTCTTCCGTGTGTACATGGCGTAAAATGAGGGCGTGGGGGAAGCGGAGACTTGAATATATAGGGGCGTGTTATTCTAATGACGATCGTTTTCAGCCGCGGGATTTATCAAGGGCAGGTATTTCGTACACCTGGATTTCAAAGGTACGCACAGCTTCATAAATCAGGCGGTGAGAGGAGTGTAAGCATAATCTAACGCCAACATATACGCCCGTTTCTACGCAAGAATGATAAATGAGGGCCATTGTACTTTTGCCAGACAGAGTATTATCATTAACTAAACCATATAATCTTTTTATTCAAATGTTTCAAGTGTTTTCCCCAAAATCAACTGAAAATGCAACTTTTAATGACTTCTGCAGTCTCAAATTTATTCAATCCCTTCATGGCAAGCATCTTTAATACTTAGTAGAACACCCTTTTGCTGTTATGACCTGCTGCAAACGAGATGTATGACCAGACACCAGCTTCTGGCAGCGTTTCTGAAGAATCGTAGCCCATTCCTCATGAGCAATGGCCTCCAGTTCAGTTCAGCTTCCTCACTGGTGGCATGACGTTTTCTCCTAGGATTTCCTGTTACTTCAATAAATCCATCATGCCTTCCACACACTGCAGTTTTCCAGTGCCAGAGGATGCAAAACAGCAGCAGAGCATCACCAAGCACCAGCATGCTTAGCCGTAGACAAAGTGCTTTATTTTCAGCATATGTTTCATTCTTCTTCCTCCTGATATATGATCCAGATTTAATGCTGATCCAGAGGGCCGGAAAGTTCCGGTTTTGTTTCATTGCTCCATATAACATGATTCCAAAACTTCAGTGGCTTATTTCTATGATTTTGAGCAAATTGGAGCCGACTTTTCTTGTACTTTTGGTCAGTAGTGGTGTACTACTTGGAGTTCTGGCATGGGTTTAGTGCGCGCCTTACTGTCCAAGCTGGAACCTCAGTGCCTGTTGCCACCAAGTCTTGCTGCAGGTCTTCTGCATTCACTCTAGGTTTTTTTTAACCTGCCTTCTCAGAAATCTGGTTGCAGCCAATTGATAGCTGCCTTTTGCTACCCTGTCCAGGTAGTGTAACAACTGTTCCTTTAACTTTGAACTGTGTCTCTAGGAACATTTAGTGTCTTCGCTATCTTTTTGTATCATGGTCCTTGTTTGTGAAGGGCGATGAAATCTTCTCTTAACTTTTTGGACCATTGTTTTGACTTAGCCATATTTCTAACTTGCAGTCAAACGTGATACTCAACAAACCTAGCCAGTTCAGATATTTCATGTGTTTTAGCTCAAGCACACCTGGTGCAACTAATGAAGCCCTTGATAAGTTGCATCAGGTGTGCTTGACAACACCTTTTTTTTTGCAGATTTGTGCTGTTGTGAGGCATTCTATTCAGGGGATTGAATATTTTTTTAAACTTCAGAAGTCATTAAAAGTTGCATTTTCAGTTAAATTTAGGGAAACCACTTGAAACATTTGTTGTGTTGAGCTATTTGAATTACTTTTGTTTGATTTGTTCATTGCAAACAGCTGAAAGTCTGTAAATTTTGCCAATAAACCTGATTTGCCATGGGGGTTGAATAATTTCGATTGCAACTATATATAAATATAAATAATATTAAAGTATAAAACAGTTTTAAATACAATATTATTGTATTTTCGATCAAATAAATGCAGCTTTGGTGAGCATAACAAACTTCTTTCAGAAAGATTGCTGATTGTTTTAAATATGCTAGAAGTATGGTAACTTATTCTAACTGACTGACCAAAAGTTGTGTTTATTAGCTAAAAAAGAAGAGTTCACGTATAACTGTCCTGGAGAAACAGCTCCAGGAGAAGAGTGCTGCTTATTCACAGACTGTAATGAAGACCGGCCAGCTTGAACAAGACCTTATGGTAACATACACGCATGCAATATCACACATAAAACAAACAGCGATTTTTAAGATATAATCTATCCTGTTCTCTGTACCTGTGTTAAATTAGGAAAAGGCCAGCACTATTCAGCACTACCAGTCAGTCTTGAACAAGAAACAGAGGGAATATCAGCAGACTATAGAGAAAATCAAGAATGCACATTCACAAAAATGCAGAGAACTGGAGGACAGAATAGAGGTGGTACGTACGTGTGCAATTCTTGCTTTTATTAATTATATTGCACTTCTGCGTGTGTAAATCCTGTGATTGTAATAAAATGTGTGTGTTTTTCAGCTGCAGTTGTCTCTGGCTCAGAAACAGACTGAACTTGAGGAGCTAGAACAAAATGTGACTGATTTTCACTCAGAGAAACAGGAGTCACAGCAGAGAGCCAGTCTTCTGCAGACCATTATAGATCAGCTCACTGAGGTCAGAACTCACCCTTCATGCAAACTCATCCTGCTGGTACTGTGGGCTTCAAAAGTCTGAGACCACATTGAAAATTGAGAATTTGTTTTCATTTACATTGATTTTTTAAAAACATTTTTTTTTTTTTTTACTATTTCTTGGTCAATAATCAGTCATTTTGTGATATTGATCATGTGACTTTTTGTATAGAAAGTCAGATGTTTTTGCTTCCAGTGTAGCACAAGATGTTCTTAGGCTCATTATCAGATCATGCTGGAGTACATGATCATCAGGTTTTACAGGTCACATTAATTTTTAATGAAAAAAAAATATATTAAAGAGGCCATAGGATTCTTTTAAAATAATTTGTTTGTGCATGTATGCAATCTACAAAGTTACAAAGCTCATTGTCTCCCACAAATGGAGAACACTGATCCAAATGCTAGATATCACTTCCACAAATGTCTACGTCACAATGTTAAGTATTAGCATAATGCCTGCCCAAAAGCATATGCAAAGAAAGAAGTGATGGTTCAGTGAATTATAGCGTTGTTGTGATTATGGCAAGGGGCGTTTCATTTCTGACACATGCTTGAGGTGTTAGCCAATCACAACGCACTAGGTCATCTGGCCAATCAGAGCACTCTGGAGTTTTCGGAAGGAGTGGCTTTGTAGAAACCCCAACTCAATAAGAGCATTTCAGACAGACTGGAAATAGAGGTGCTGCAATAATGAACCGTATCCGAAATATAATGTTTTTTTTTTTTACATTAACCTATGTTAACCTATTCTACTACACCCAATAGATAAAATAATGACCTTTTCAAATAGCATCATGTTATATACTATGATTCATATGGCCTCTTTAAATGTAAAAGAGACAAAATATAAGCAATTTTCTTTTCCTCAGACTTTTGGACACATCTGAATCACTTTATCAATGATGCGAGTTTGTGTAAATCTCTTACTGAGTATCTTTCTGTTCCCTGGGCAGGATTTTGAAGCAAAATCTAAATCCAGTGAAGAGACGCTCAGAAATGTCGAAGAGGAAGCTGCTGACTCTGCTTCAAAAGTGAGACTGACTAACCATTTTTGTGTTTTCTTGTCTGCTCAGCACTATGATGAACAGAACAGGTCGTTTGTTGTTACATTGCTTTGTCTAAAGCAGGGGTTCTCAAAGTTTTAGACTCAAAGGCCCCCATTGTCCAACATGATATTCAGAGATATTTCCTTTAGTATTTCTATTGTAATTATGACAAAGCTACTTGTTTTCTAAATGTATTATTAACTGAAGTGTTGAAATATGTATTTTATTTTATTTTATTTTATTTATATAATTAAATAATTTTAAGCCCTGTGGCTGCCTTGGATGTTGGTTGAGAACCACTGGTGTAAAGAAATTCATACACCACGATGACAAATTTCAGTAATACTTTACAATAAGGTTCCATTAGTTAACATTAGTTTACAACATGAGTTGACATTACAATGGGAAATACTTCTAAAGCATTTATTAACCTTAATTAATTTTAATATCAACCTTTACTAATAATTAAAATAAAAAAATTGGATCTGTTAATATTATTTAATGGACCTGAGTCAACAATTAAACTAACAATGAACAGTAGTATTTTTATTAACCAACGTTAAAAAAGATTAACAAGATTAATAAATACTGTAACAAATGTTTTGCTCATTGTTAGTTAATAACTAACTAATGGGACTTATAAAATGTAACAAATTATTATTATATAGCGCTTTTCTGGGCACTCAAAGCGCTTTACATAGAATGGGGAAATCTCCTTAACCACCACCAATGTGCAGCATCCACCTGGATGATGCAACGCCAGCCATATTGCACCAGAACGCCCACCATACACCAGCTTACTGGTGGAGAGGAGACAGTGATGAAGCCAATCAGTAGACTGAGTATCTTTCTGGGGATGATTAGGAGGCCATGATGTACAGAGGCCAATGGGTGAATTTGGCCAGGATATGACGGGGTTAAACCCCTACTCTTTCGAAGGACATCCTGGGATTTTTAATGACCACAGAGAGTCAGGACCTCGGTTTAACGTCTCATCCGAAGGACGGTGCTTTTTTGACAGTATAGTGTCCCTGTCACTATACTGGGGCGTTAGGACCCACACAGACCACAGGGTGAGCACCCCCTGCTGGCCTCATTAACACCTCTTCCACCAGCAACCTGGTTTTCCCAGGAGGTCTCCCATCCAGGCTCAACCCTGCTTAGCTTTAGTGGGCAACCAGTCTTGGGCTACAGGGTGATATGGCTGCTGGCTGTGACTTAATGAGCTTATTGTAAAGTGTTGCCCAAGTTTCTTGTGTGAAGTAATCATTCTGTCTTCAATGAAAGCTAAATGCTGCCACTATGTGGCAGCCGACAAGTACATACTTAATGTTTAACATGCAGATGTTAAGTAGGATTTTATAGAACAAAAACTAATTAAACTGAGATTTGTTGGTTTATTGCGTCAGACTTGGTTTGGACACTGGTAATTTCTGTCTTGGTCTTTCCAGGTGAGGAGCCTGCAGACAGAACTGTCCTCCTGTAAAGAGGTGCTGAGTCATTACCTCCAGCAGATGGAGGAGGTGAAGAAACATCAGGAGAAACAGCTGGAGCTGAAGAACAGTGAGGTCAGTCCTTGGAGCTGGGCACTTCCTCTTCCTGTCCTCCTGGGGAACCGTATTTGAATGACATTAAGTGACAGTTGTTGGTTAATGTATGACTTAATGATGTATGTTTATCAGCTGTCACAGCTGCAGGAAGAGCTGAGGAGGAAATGTGTGGCTTATCAGAGCTCCAGTGAGGAGAACCTGCAGCTGCAGCAGTCCATGCAGAACCAGCACACCATGCTGCAGGAGAGCACGTCACGCATCGCACAGCTGGAGGAGAGCCAGAGTCAGCTGCAGAGCCAGGTACACACACCAGGGTTCCCATGGCCGTGGAAAACCCAGAAATATCTGGGAATTTTTGATGTGGTTCGAGTGCAGTTTTTTCCCGATGCTTTGATGTAGATCTGATTGAAACTAGAAGTCTGGGTAGGACATGTATAAGAGCTTGTCACTCTTATATAGCGAATAGCATTTTGTTTACATCACAGCCCAGCGAAGAATTTGACAGCTTGTCAAATCAGTACAATCTCAGTAGTAAATATTTTTAATATATATATTTCAAAACTATATTTTATATATATATATATATATATTTATGATGCTCTCCTGTGAAATATTTAATCAACTACATATTGCTCTTGGGGAGAGTCTAATTTGTGTACAAATTGTTCTTTTGAGTCAAATGTTTTCAGTTCTTAATGAACTGTAATCACAAACAACTGTAAAAGTCATTGACATTAATTGATTAGGTATGCAAACATACACACTTATCTTGAGAAAGTTTTGCCATAGAATAGCTGTTTTCCAATTTCCAATATAGCTGTTTACTTAGAACTGACTAACCCTAATGCATCACATATCAGCCTTTACCAGTTTAGATTAATTTTTTCTTTTGAATTAGGCTTTTTGTCAAATTTGGGCAGTAAGTAATACATTTTACCATTAATTATTAATTAGTTATTATTAAATGTTTTAATTTTGTAACAGTACGTGTGACTATCCATACGTCTGGGTTTGCATTTTGCATAGGAAATAAATAGAGAGTGAGCTATTTGATATTACACACAACAAACCTTAAGATTTAGGTCACATTGATAGCCTTCACATTTAGGTCAGACATCGCATATAGCCTGACTAGCAGACACTGTTTACTGTGAGAAACATGAAACTATACCATCACTTCTGATTGGAGTAACTGATCACACACCACATCAAACATAATATTCACCAAGTTCCGTCTGATCATTTTTGCATATTTAGTATTCATTGTCCTGATCGTTAAATGTTGTCCTTATTAATGTCTGATCAATGAATAATGGAGTCATTCATGTGTGTGAAGATATGTATAGCTGTGCCTCAGGGTTGTTCTTCTCCAGTACAAAACAAGCTTCTTTTCCATTAGGAAACAGTTTGTACTGAACCTTCAAACGAGTAATTGAACTTTAAAGTCAAAGTTGACTCCATTTACATTTTTTAAAACACGTTTTTGGTCTATTCATTGAACATTTATAATCACATCAAATGTAAAAAATAAAAATATAGCTCAAAATGTAATAACTTTTTCTCATTCACAGAGCATAGGTCTGTATAATGTTAAACAATATATTATATATCTATATTACATTAAAATATATAATGTTAAAAAAATAATAATTAAAAATTAATCCATTTAAAGCAACACTAAAGAATTTTTTTTACCTTAAAATTATGTTTCCAAAATCGTATCAGTGGTTCATCAAGTCGTAACAGGGTGAAAGGCACTTCTGAGTTTGTTTTGCAGCCCTAAATCTGCTTTAACCACGCTATGAAAGTTTGCCAGACGTTTCTGTAGTTTGAATGAGACATAAGAAAACTACAAATTTGACTTGCTTTGCGTCAAGCGTTACAATAGTCATTATTTAGTTTTTCTTTGTTTCTGATGTCGCAATAAATCATACTTTCATGAAATCATGCAACATACTCTACCTTGTCTGTGGACATCGTTCATTCCAAAGCCGGTGCTGGATAAACAACGAGCGTGCGTGCGACAGTAGGCTGCGGTAAGTTCAATTATTTACGACAGCGGTAATGGACAATTCCGCTTCCAACCTGTAGGGCGACCGAAGAGGAAAAGTTCTTTAGTGTTGCTTTAACAAACCTTCATTTGGTATGGCTTCTTTCTGATATTTAGACATTAGATAAGATATGCAAATGGTCTTTGGTACCTTCATAATGTTTCTTCTAAAGGTTTAAAATCACTTTAAGGTCTCAACTTTAAATTAAAAGATTAAATGGCTCTGAAAGAAAGAAATTTCAGATGCATTTTGACCACAGATGTAATATAACACCATAGACTTAAAATAAGATCCAGAACTCTGTTGTCTATAAAGGAATGTCCTTAAGAAAATTCTATGATTTTTTTTATAAAAATTGAACATTTCTGGTTGTAGATTGTCTGTGGAGTTGTGGTGTTGCTATGAAAGACTGTAACACCACAGACAAATTGCAAAAACATGTTAGACAATAATCTCATGACCTTTCTGCCTGAAAGACTCATCTCATCTGTGCAGATAGTGGGATAACATCTACTGATCGCCCACAGGTGTCCCAGCTGGAACAAGATTTGGAGAAGGAGCGCACTGCCTTGTCTCAGGCTCTGAGGAGAAGGGAGAGAGAAGTGGAGGAGGCCACCCAGGAGGTGCAGAAGAAGGACAGGCAGGCTGCCGAGCTCTCCGGCTCCATAACGTGAGACCACCTGCCAATTCAGTTCATTCATTTACCTGATTTAGGCAGCTGTCATGTCATGGGCAGCTGACTCCCAAAGATTTTCATATTCTTTAAATTTCTGTGTGCTGGTTTGTTCACAGCAGTCCTGATTGTTTCCAGTGGTATTTTGACCTTTTATACAATAAGTTCTTTTCTAATTTTTTTTCGATGTTTGCATTAACCTTTGTCAAATTCTCAAATGTATTCAAGAAATTTAGTTAGAATAATGAGACACTATAGGCTGTTGCCAATAAAATGAAATCCGTATCAACACAATCCATTTTTGCACTGCAGATAAGCTTCATCTGACGTGCCATTTAGATATATTTACACAGACTGTTTAATACTCAGAGGTGGCATGAATGCATTTACACTACAATTACAATGGCATAAATAATGCTATGAGGTTAAAAACAATATTGAAAAATTAAAATAAAAAATTAAATGATAGAAATATTTCTAATATGTAATGAAAATGCTAATATTGATTTAATTATGCAAATCACTGTTTTAATGAATGAGGCAATGAATCATTTCAGTAACAAAACATCACTGTGGAAAAGCAACACTGAATTTGTTGAAACAATGGTTCGGCTTTTTGGTGAAATAGAGCAAAAACAGACAAAATTGTGTCAAAAAGGTCTGATTTTGATAGTTGGACAGCTAAATGTTATAAATGTACGAGTTTGCCCACATGTGGAATGTGCCCGCCCACATGTGGAAATCAAATATTCAAGCCGTTTATCCATTTTCTACCCCTGAACCTAAAAATATCAAATCAATCAGGTTTTTTTTGTTTGTTTTTTTATAATAAATGCACCGTTTTCTCATTTTTCTACTTTCAATATTAAATCGAAAAATGAATGAACAGACCCAAAAATGTAAGTCACTTAATATTCATTTGTTGCTTTTCCACAGTTGAACAAACAAGATCACATTTGTAATCATGCTGATATTAGGGACAAAATGCACTCTTGCTCATGTGATATTGCTCAACTACATCATATAAAAGACACTCTCATACAAAGGCATTTTTTGGTCTCAACATCTTGAATTTTGGTGGCATTTAAACTATTCTAATAGGCTACCTCAAGCAGTGATGGAGTGTGACATAGCATATGTCAGCTGCGCACATCGATTAAATAATTACAATATAACTATTAATTAATTAATTGTTCAGCTCTATGTTTATGTCCTGTAAAAATGGATGATGCAACCATAATATCCTGATGTGCAACAGTCAAATCTAATTCAAATGGTAAAACAGTAGTGTTCTAGTTGACAGAGTGATGAAGACAGGCATGTCATCTGATAATACATCCAGAGACATTCTGATTAGGAAATTGCTTTTTCTAGGCGCAACAAAAGTAGGACATGTGTCTTGTCCCGAGGGTGTCCCTTGAGATGATCTTATGACTGCTCTATGGCTTTAGAGCCTTTGTGTCCGTAGACACTCCTGCTGCACTCCTCCTGTATATATACTGCTAACCGTGAACTATCTTCACTGAGGAAGAAAGCCCTTCACGTATTGGCTGATCACATAAGACCACTAAACTAGACCACTAGGATTTGTATTGCTTGTTTTCTGTCCTTTCTAAGGTCAGTTTTGTCCTGACAGCATTTGGACAATGGTAAAAACACTGAGGAAAAGATAGTAATGTTAAGCTGTGTTTGTTTTTCAGGCAGCTGAGTTCAGAGATGAGCAAGTGTCGAGTGGAGCTGTCAGACATGGAGCTGGAGCTGTTGCGTCTGAGGAGAGACAGCAACACGAAAGAGTCTCAGCTCAATCAGATGGAGGAGACACTCAAGGAGACCAGAGGCTTGCTGGATAAGAAGAGCGAAATGGGTATGCAGCTCCAGTGACCAACAACAAATAATGGGCATAAACTTTCATGCTTAAGTTTATCTGCGCCTTTGGAAAAGTTATTGGTCTCTTTTGTACGGTCCACATGTCTACAGACCTTCAACGGACACTGGGGTTTTGCAGACCTCACTTTGAGAAATGCTCGCCCAAAGTTTGCTGTTTGAACCCCACTAAGGGGCATCCATTATTGTATTGTATTCTATTCTATTCTATACGACTCTGAGGAAGATGACTGGAATAATAGTTGAATAATAGTCTTATGTTTTCTTGCCTATGTGTCCCAGTTATGGACCTTGAAGAGAAGCTCCACCGCAGTGAGACGGACAGGAGGAACTCGCTCCAGCGGGCGCAGTTGATGGAAGGACAGTTGCAGGAGGTGCGTGGAGAGCTGACAGACACCCTGGACCACCTGCAGGAGCTGAGAGACGTGCTACAGCGGACACAGCTGACGTCAGACCAGCGGCAAGCAGCCATTGATAAACTGGCTGCTGAGCTCAGGTGAGCTGCTCCACCTCTTCGCTCTGACTGCTGGGAAATCACAGCAGTCGGTCCATCACTGGATACTGAGCACCTCTGAGGTTTCTTACAGCCTTACTCATGTTTGACTGAGGACAACCTAAATTGAGCACTTTCTGTTGTTGCTTGAATGCCTCTGAAATAGATTATTATGGATCTCTAAAGGCTTTAAAACACAAGTTTTTTTTAATCACCTTCATACCACTTTGTACATACCATATGGGATGCACAAAAGGACAAATGTGTCCTTGTAAATACCTGCTGCTGGTTACATCCGGTTTTGGTGGCTTTTCTATCATTCTTCTTGATGGCCATTCATTTTTAATCTGTCTCAGTAGAGACGTATAAAGTCATTCCAGTTTCCTTTTATTTCCTAAACCCAATTTCCAACACTTCATAAATGTTTATATGTAAAAAATCTAGTACATGCACTTTGAATACAAAAATACAAAACACATTATGGTGCTCTGATATATTAATTGTCTATTTATTTTATTTTAATTATAAATATGAGCATTGTTATAATTTACATTTCATTGTTTTTGTTTTTACTAATCAGTGTTATTTATTTATTTTAATGTGATAAACAACATAATTTATTGGTTTAGATTTTACTAGGTTCTCTAGCTTTACTTTTAATCTTTGTAATAAAAAAAAAAGTGTTGTAAATGATGTTTTATATACTACCATTCAAAAGTTTGAGAATCCTGAAAAACATTTATCACTATTTCCACAAAAATATTAAACATCTCAATGGTTTTCAAAATTGATAATAATCAGAAATGTTTCTAGATCAGTAAATCATCATATTGGAATGATTTCTGAAGGATCATGTGACACTGAAGACTGGAGTAATGATGCTGAAAATTCAGCTTTGTCATTACAGGATTAAAATTATATTTCAAAATATATTGAAATGGAAAACTTATATGGAAGATATAGAAAAATATTTTACAATATTTCTGTTTTTACTGTATTTTGATCAAATAAATGCAGCCTTGGTGAGCAGAAGACCCCATACTTTCTGACCCCATACTTTTGAACAGTAGTGTACACATGTAGGTAACACATTTTTGCCCTTTTATTTTTTTGCTCATGACTGCAAATGTCTGTAATAACCAGAGGAAGAAAACTCAAACACTTGTTCCGTTATTCAAAACGACATCAGTTTTAGAATGATCACTGATAAGGTTTTCATCTATTCATGATTATAACAAACACACACATTCACAACTCGACCCCACCCCCAGAATGTTCAGTCAAGCCATAGAAGGAAAAACAGTAGTGACTGTGAATTTGTCATCATGAATATTAATGGTGTTGAAAGGTGCCACAGTTACCAGACCTACACCTCATCTGTTTAGAAAAAATCTACAAAAATCAAGTGGTTTCTTTATCAATATAAAACTTTACACATAATAAGCACAGAAAATATCCCCGCAACTCGTACCATATATGATTCTGTACGGTCATGTATTTTTTTTGTCATACGTTTATGAACAGTATTGTCCTATGTTCCCCATGTTACATAATATTGGACTGAAAACAGAACTAAGTGTGTACTCAGTCGCGTCGTAAATTCTGTTTTCGTAGACCTTATTCACAGCAGCGCCATCTTTGATTTTTAACAGGAATGAAAGCGAGGCTGTGAGGGATAGACATGCATCTCTTCAGTGGGTTGTACTGCTATTAAATGTGTTTGTGGATTGTTCTGCTGATGAAACAATGCAAAAATATGTTTCTGACAAATTCCAGTAGACCAAAAAAAAAACAGACAATATGATCTGTGTAAAATTTTAAGTGATCTAAGAGCTTTATACAGCTTTTTACAGCGGATCCCATTGAAAACACAGTAAGTCTATCCCTCACAGCCTCACTTTCATACCTGTCGTGGTGCTGGTCTGAATAAGGTCTATTAGCAGTGGTTTCCGGTGTCTGTGACTGTTGGTTTGTTAACAGGGTTGCGGAATACATTTTATTATTAATATTTTTTACCTCATAGAACAAATTCAAGTTGCACATCTATACTTTTATCAATGTGACATAACTGGCCACAAGTTAAAAGTGAAGAGTGTTTTCTACACCAAAAGCAACTGATAAAATTACTGTTAACATACAGATTCGTCAAACAATCTCCCCATCAGCGATTAGTCAAATGAACAGTAAGACCTGTCTGGCCAGACATGATGCTCAAACAGATACTTGCATATTTATAGATATAGCTATAGTCTTTGCATATGGGATAGGAAAAAGTATTTTAACCTAGAAAAATATTTTTTTTATTGCCTTTTAACTTTGTTCTAATCATAATGCAAAAAATAAATGAAAAAATAATAATCGTTTTCTCCATCATTGGATGTGTTTCCAGAGAGAGTCAGAGGGAGCTGGAGGAGAGGAACAATGAGGTGGTGGATCTGGACACTGCTCTGAAAGAGAGACAGGGGGAGCTACAGCAGAGAGCGCAGCTGGTACCACACACAAACATGCGCAAAATATCCCTTACAGCCACGTCTCCACTCTACTAAAGCACTGTGTTCTCTCTTGAGTTGGGACAGCTGGATGTGGCCATTAAGGAGCACAAGCTGGAGATGGAGAAGAAGGTGGAGTATTTACAGGAAGCTCTGGAGAAGAGCCAGAATGAGTTTAGGGAGAAAGACCAGCAGGTGAGTCATTGCGAGTGACCATTGATAGGTTTATTAATGGACAAAAATGAACTGATGTGGTCCCGCTGCTCTCTGGACAGATGCAGTTCCTGACGGAGAGGATGGAGATGCTGAAATCACAGCTGCAGGTTAAGGAGGACATTGAGAGGGTACGGCATATGCTTGGATTATTTTAGGGAAAGTGTTAAATCTCACAAATCCTGTCTGGGTCATTTTTTTTACCCCAAAATCAAAATCTGAACATTTTATTTAGCTTAATCTTAAAAACAATTAGGTTTATTTTAGGATGATTAAGGCATTGAATTTGATTTTCATGACAAATAAGCACCTCCATCCCCAATTTTCAGTACTGTAATGCAAAAATCATGATACAATTATCATACATTTTATATTTATGTGATATATTTCAATTAAAATGTAAATTATATAATACGTAGTGTGCTGCCATTAATTTATGCTTTTTTTAAATGCATTCTTTCTACTACAAATACTAAAACAAATACTATTACAGAATGACAATGACAATATGAGAATTACTAAAAAAAAAAAAGTCCAGATGCATTATTTTGATGATAATAACTCTAGGGGATAATATGCTTAATTGTCAATAAATTTGTTACCATGCAAACAATCTAAAATAAGCATTATTTCCTTTATGCAAGATATTTGTTCTTATTTTATAATAATTTTATTTTGTATGTATTTGTTTTTTATTGTAGCGTGAAATGTTTTTGTACAGCCATTTATTTTTTTCATTTTGTTTATTCTATCTTGAATGAAAGTGAAAGGAAGGATATGGTATTATTTCCCAAAGGCACAGCAGCAATTTTCAAATGTATTTTTTTAACCATATTATATTGAAAAATTGTGAAAAATTACAGGAAAATCTCCAAAGAACTAAATTTACTCATATTTGATCTGCCTTCCTCCACACTGCCCCCTTTCTCAGCATCCAAAATTAAATTACAAGGGCCTAGAAGTAGTTATACAATGGCTAGGACATACATATTTTCAAAGAGAAAAGCCAGGGCTCTGAACCAGTTCAAAGAATGAAAACATAAACTGGACACGACCGAAATTTTAACAGGAAATCTAAATCAAGTTTAATCATCTGAACAGAATGCTTATTTGAAGTTACCATTAACTGCTTAATAACGTTATTTTATCGTTCTGTTTAATATTTTAATTTGGCAGTCAACCAATCTTGAGTTCAGAGTACGGCCTACGCAAACATGATGTTGGCGCATCCAACGCCCACATCTGAGGCAGTAATAAGTGCATCGCGTTACGTTTTCATTATCTTACAGGTTGCAAAGTTTTTTGTAGCAATGTGTGTTACAAAAGATGAAGTGCTATCCACAGGCTGTATTGGCTATGACTAGACGGCAAAGACTAGACCGTACGATGGCCCGTACACCAAGGACGATAACTATAAAGATAACGATAAAGATATAGTTCTAAAAACCAATCTCAGTATTAAAGAATAGCAGAGTTCACACAACAACTATAACGATAACAACACAGAGAAACCATATATCTTTGGAATCACTTTCAGCACGATTTTATCCAGCTGATGAACGATAAAAACATTGACAGCCAATCAGAATCCATCTTGCTGTAACGAGCTTGAGCATTTAAAGTTACAGACAAACACACGCTTAGAAAAAACAGAAAGATATCGTCTGCTGGTGTGGAAGCTAATATAGTTATCTTTACAGTTATCGTTCTTGGTGTGAACGGCCCTTAAGACTCTCTTTGCTCCTCAAATACATAAAACATTAGCCTTTACAGGCTTTCATGTTTTTTTTTTTAGTAAAGAAAACACAGTTCTTATTCAAACAACCAGTTCATTATTTACCCAAACAAGTAGAGAAAGTTTCCAAAATGCGTGCAGGACTTAATTCACGATTGAGGCGTGTGGAGCTACTGTATGAGGTTTGCAGACAGTTTGAGGATCCACTGGAGTTACGAGGTTTATTCAAGTTCTTGAATTGAACAATACTAACTTGGTTGTTTATTGAAGTTCTTGCATGAAGTAATCAAACCGTTTTCGGGATATTAATGATTATAGAAGGAATGTTAACAGAAACGTTAAAATACCGTTAAAATATTTTTTCTTTCCATTTTTAAGCCCTGATAAAAGCATAAACAATTAATTCTGTCCTCCCCTAATATTGGAAGTTATTCTCTCCAGTGCAATACAGCTGTGTCATTTTAAGACCATTTGACCTTTAGTATCACAATATTAAGTTTCCTAAGGGAGATTCAACCCTCTGAATGCCTGTATGGTGTGCAGCCCATCTGAGCCACACAAGTCTGTGGGGGGAAATGTGAACAATGAAATGTTAAATAAACAGAAGTAACAGAGTTACAACATTAAACTCTTGCTATACAGAAATTAAACAATACTAACTTGGTTGTGTAACACTAACAATGTTAAACAACTCTAACAAGATCATCAGTTATTTCATCTTATTTTGTCATGGGTGCCATATCATTCTGACAAACAATAATTTTATCAATCCTAGAACTAACACTTTTTTTTTTCTGAAAGTAATCTAATGTATGCAAAGGCTGTTTACACTATATGATCTAAAGAGCACTGAAAGGTTAATGAGTAAGACTTACAAGTCTCATTTTTATTGTGTGTGTATCAGGGTGCTCTGGAGCATGGCCAGCAGCTGCGTGTGTATCGTGAGCAGCTCCAGAAGACGGTGCAGGAGTTACAGGGGGCACAGACACGCTGTGACTCTCTGAACAGACAGATAGATCAAGTCACCCAGCAAGCACGTCATAAGGTGAAACATCTGCAACTTTAAACTCGTTCCAAGTTCATTTCCATTCAGATGTGACCATTAGGGTTTTCCAAGTGTTACACCCCGTCTAGGGTAAAGGACGCAACATAAAAAAAAAAAAGGAAACGATACGGTTTCTTTGAAGGGAAAAGCCAATGAAGCAATATTTATTGGGTTTTACCAGGGTTAGAATACAATTGGGGACTTAACCTCAGGAGCCGGCAGCCCAAAATAACAAACAAAAAGAGTAATATATAGGAACCTCTTACTGCCCTAATACACAAAAGAAAAGAAAAGAAAATACAATTAATACAATACAATTACTTCCCCAACTCCCTAATCCAAAACAGGCAATAAAGATCAACAAAAAAAAGGTGGCGTCGGTCTCCCTACCTCCCAATTCCAAAACACAAGTATATATATATATATAACAGAGCAAACAAAACAGTGCAGGGGTAATCTGAAATCTTAGTCGTTAAACAGGCGGTAGTCTTTGTCACAAATGGCAATAAACAGGAAACAAACAAACTCTTCTCTCTTAAGCAATTTCTCCAAAAAACACACCCCAGAACAAACAGTTTTAAGCAACAGTGTCAGGCGACAAAAATGTTGCAAGTGAGCACAGAATAATAGTCAGCTGATTGATCAGGGCGTGGCACCAATCAGTCTGCAGGAACCAATCCGGTCTTCTTCCTGGGAAACAACAAACACCTCCCACAACAGCATAAAACACATATACAGACCAAAAGGGACGTAACACCAACCGAGTGGAACAATTTCAGTACAATTTATAAACCGGTTGTGGGCATTTTCATATTGATGGAATGACAGCGCGATCAGCCAATTGCATCGACGAAGAGGCACTTCCAGACCTTATGTGCTTTTTCAGCTTTCACCGTTTATTTTGTCATTCATTTCCATGCAAATTCTTAATTTGATTATCCTTAATAAGCCAACAATGCATATTGTCATGTAGACCTGTAAAACCATTTCCTTTGATTGTCGGCTTTTTAGAATAAACCAATCGACAGCTAGATTTTTGCCCATTACCTCAATTTCGCTCTGCATGTAAACTCCTTTACTTATATTCTATCATCTTTTTGAAGTGTGCATGTGTAATATGTAACAGGAAAGCATCCTTACCGCAGATTTAAGTCCATCTAACCATAGCAAATGTTTTGCTGTAGGGGAGGAGAAAATGTATTGTACACTCCAACTCTTTCTTGACCCAAGAAATCATAAAAATGGGTTCTCATCTTGTGCAGCCGAAAAAGAAGCGGTACAGTTGTAGAAACTGCAAACATAAAAGAATATGAGTCTGTATAAGTTTCCTACTGACATTAGAATCCTCTGGAGTTTTTAATGCTTTATTTAACCTCACAACTCGCATGATAAATAGAATATTCACAGTGGACTTTATTTTTGTTGTGCTGATTATTTACATCTACCTTTTTTTGAGCATATGCCTGCTCAGAGAAAATGGCCGTTATCTCACACTTAAATCACTTTGCACTTTATAAGAACATAGTTGTGTATGGTGTAACATCCCAATTTGTGGCATGGCGACACATCGGTCTGAAAGGTACATTGTTTAGATGAGCAGATTAAGTGAAAATTTCCTTTTCATGACACGTCTCTCAGATTCTTGAGTTCTCTCAGAGAACTGTTTTTTAACCGGCTTGTTGTTGTTGTTTATTGTAGGAGAGTGAAGTTCATCAACTGCGAGATGAGATGTCTGCGATGGAGAAGCGTTCTACACAGGCTGAGGTCAGACTCCAGGCCACCATTACCGCCCTGCAGCAGGAGCTTGAACAGCAGAGAGAAGAGCATCACAAAGAGGTTCAGAGAAACAGAAAGTTTGTCTTCATTCTCATAGGACAGTTGAGCTGGTTTGCTGGACCTGACCCTCTCTCTTTGCCTCCCAGCTTTCAGATGTGCAGCAGACGCGTGGGCAGCTGCTGAAGGTGTCGGATCAGATCTCCAGCAGCTTGCGAAACTCTCAGGGGCAGCTGAGCCAGTGGCTGCAACAGGCCCGGGACCAGCTGGAGGAGGCCAGATCTGCCTCTGCTCGCCTACATGCCGAGCTTCACAGCAAAGAACAGCTCCTGCAGAGTGCTAATGAGAACCTGCTTATCAAGGTACATGACTCACTGTGTGGTGTTTCAAAACCTCCAGACAACATTTTCATATTACATCCATATGACATATCCATCCATTCTCCAAAACGTTTGTCCAATGTAGGGTCTATCCCAGCATCACAGGCCGATGGCAGGGAAACAAACTGGATCGATGGCCAGTCTCAAATCAAACATTTTACCTGTAGAAACAATTCATATCAATAGTTACAGTATGAGGAAAGTATATGTACAAGCAGCACTAGGGCTGCACGATTTGGAATTGCCGTTTTTAGGGATGCACCGAAAGTAAAATCTAGGCTGAAACCGAAAATTCAGGATGCACTTGGCCGAAAACCATTCAAACGACAATAAACTGTAATAGAACATGGGCTATAAAACAGAATGTATATCTACTATGTGAGGGTGTCACGATTTCGATTTTAAATCGAAATCGACCGAAATTAATTCACAATCTCGAACTTCGAATTAAAAAATGGAATCGTCGATGCTGCCACGCCCCCATGTCACGTCCGGTCGGCGTGCCAAGCGGAAAAAAACACGCGTGTTGAAGTGCTGCGAGTCTATGGTCAACCTCCTCTAACTTAGCTACAGCCATTCAAAATATAGCATGGCAACTGCAGATGCAGAAGACCAATCGACAGAACTTGAACCCCCTCCTCTTTCATTGAAGTCGCAGGTGTGGAATTTTTTTGGATTTCCAGTGAGTTATGTTGACAACGTTCGCGCTTCAAAAAAGCCACAGTTTGCAGACATCCCAAGTCTCGCGGAAGTTCCGGGAGTCTCCCGCATATTGATAGCGGCTCTGATGCCCACAAATTAGTTAAAATCTCCCGTAATCTAGAGTGAGCGAGTAAGAGCGCGCATGCGAGACAGAAAAAAACTGTGCTCCAAACCGTATTGCGCGCAGGGCAGAGAGGGAGAGAGCGAGAGACCTTCCGTGTGTGCCTCATGAAGCGCATGTAAGACAGAGAGCATCTTGATTGGCTGGTTTCAGCTTTAAAAAAAAAATTTTTTAAATCGAGAATCGAATCGAACCGTGACCTTAGAATCGAAAATGTAATCGAATCGAGGATTTGGAGAATCGTGACACCCCTACTACTATGTATGTCTCTTTTTTCCCCACCCCTTTTTTTTATACTAATTTTCTAAAATCATTAAGGATGAAAAAAACAAAAAAAAAACAGTTGAAACAGAACCTAGTGGGACGCCTACCTATGTATGAATTTCAGTAACTCTTGTCATTTCTCTGTTTTCTTTAGGAGTCTGAGATCACGCGTCTTCATGCCAAGCTCTCCAGCTTGGAAAGGGCCTCAGAACTACACAATATCACACTTCGTCACAAACCCAGCACTCCTCCCCCCCTCTCTCCTCCTCTCAAAGACTCGATTCTTCACTGCTCCCCATCCCCCTCCCACAAAATCTCTTCAGCACGTTCCAGCCTCTCCTCCTGGCACAACACCTTCTCTGATGCCTCTCTGGAGCTTTCGGACAGTTTGAAAGCCAGTGTGCAGGCTGCACTGCACCCGCCCCCCTCCCCAGACCAGGCCTGGCAGGGTCTAAGCACCCATGAGGCCACCTCCACTACAGACATGTCCTTTAATCCACTCACGTACATGCTGGACCCAGAGGAACCAGACCTAGAGTCTCTCTCAGGTATGCTGAGGTTTGTGAACCAGACTCTGGCCCTTCAAGAGCAACAATCCCTCTGTGACACCAGCATCCACGATACAGGCAAGTAACATAACTGCATATAAGCATGCGGGTTTTTTACATTTACAATTTGTATAGTTCACCCAAAAATGAAAGTTCTGTCAAAATGTCTTTATTTTGCGGAACAGAAAAGTGCATAATGTTGTTTTGGACCCCATTGACTTTTATTATATGCATAAACATTACAGTTCACATCCGCAGTGACAGTTAATTGACAACAAATTCACAGACATGTAACTAATCTTGTCTGAATAAGTCATGACTTTTCACTTCACACACCTACCTTTGACTAGGTGCAAGCACCACTATTTAGAGATTTACTTCATGACAATCTTCTACTTTTCCTACAGGAACGTAATGAGGGGGGGCCGCTATACTGCATCTGTCCTTACAGGAGAACAGACCAACATTTCATTGTCCTGAAGTCTTTACAGAATAACTGCATGAACATCCAAAACATGCAGATTCATTCATTTTGCCCTGAGCTACTAGATTATTATTTGTTTAGTATGAAGCTTAGATGTTGCATTAACCTCAGTTCAGATGTGGATGAGTTTTGTTCAGCTAGAGCTGTTTGAGCTTCTCCGGTATCATGATCACACCTGTCCCAACTCTGTACTTGAAATGAATCTTTCTGTGGTGTTTTTGTATTTAGCTAAGCTAAGTTTTCGATTTTATAATGCTAATTTATAATATTTCTAATGTGAATGATTGATTGATTTATAATAAATGTTTAGATATTCCGGAAGTCTTCACTGTCATGCTTAAACACCCAAATCTTTTTTTAATCATCTTGTTTCGGTCTTAAACCACAATAGCGTGTCAAGAGGAAGTGAGGCAGTTTTTTAAATGAGCTTTTTAAACAACACGCAGCCCTTTAATAATACATTTGTGTGTATATTTACATACGTATGTGTGAACTCATGCACGTATTTACACAGGCCCATTGTTTAACGATACAATAACCAGTATGTGTGTAAATGTCGGGAGTGCTGGAGGTGGAGATGTATTTGTTGTTTAGATAAGGTCTGACAGGTCGTTTGTGTCTGTTCTGTTAACTTTAGAAAGAAGTCAAGAATTAGATGAACAACAATAATGCTTGCAAATAAAATGGAACTTACAAAACTAAAACCAGATATTGCAAATATTAAATATGCAAAAGCATGGTAAAAAAAAAAAAAAGTATCTAAGAGAACACTAGCAATGCATTGCCGCTTCTGTTTTCTCTCATTTTGCTGGAGAAGGCAACATTTGCATACGTTCAAGAGACTTTGGTTAGCTTTGAAGAGGCTGTGGTCAAAGACTGGTGATTTATAGCAGTCCGCTCACGCTATTCTCTCTCATCAGGAAACCCCTCATACATTAGTTCATTTCTTTAACATCATTTTTAGTAATCTTATCTATAAAGAATGTTATGACATTGTTTAAATGGCTGTACGAGGTGTATCTAAAAGACCGAGAAGACAGAGTTGGTTCCTCTGTCTGCGTAAAACATTGATCTTGTTGCATGTAGCTTTCTGTGGTGTTTAGAGCAGAAACCACACACACACTTTCAGTTCTTTTAAAACGGGGCATCTGGGTTTCAGGCACGCGACAGGTTTGACAGTATTAACAACATGCACTTAGTAGGTTAGCTAGTAACAATAGGTTAGTTGCTTGTAATTCTGCACAATTTACTGTTACCACAGTAAGTACATGTAACCAGGACACTAAAATAAAGTGTTACCAAAGTTTTACTTGAGATTTAAAATCATATTTTAATAAACGTTTATCATGTTTTAAACAAGTACACTCAGTTTGTTTTAAAAAAAAAACAAGCAAGCAAGCCCAGGTGAAAAAAGTGAGAGAAAAAAAAACCCTAAGTAACGGAATTAGTTACTTTTTTATTTAATGTATATTATTTCCATAACAAGTACTCTTTTTAAAAGCATGCTAACTTCTTCATAAAAGTGTGTTTTAAGGATGTGAGTCATAATTGAATTAGACATATCTACTGTGCATCAGAAAAAGGATGTAGAAAAGTTTACTTTCCAAACAAAGCTGTGCTCCACATGCTTTATCATCCTGAACACTTCCTCCTAACTTTTCCCTTTTTTTTTTTTTTTTTCAAACAGACCTTACATTTATGTATAACAATTACGGACTCAAACACGCATCTCCCATGTGAGCATGGACTGCTCTTTCCGGAGACTTTGCAATAACCACTAGGCGACAGTCTGATGGGTTTCCAGTTAGGGCAGCCAATGCCAGTGTTCCGGTTACAATAACGGGCCATCATTACGGTCTTTGTCTTTAAAACCTCTTCTCTGCAGTCTTTTGCTCTTCCCCAATGGCAGTCATGGCAACAGTTTCCATGAGACACTAACAGTCTCTGGTGATTCCCTCTCTTTGTTTGCCTATTGACATTACCATAGCCCCTTTTATTTGTCTCCCACCTGTACTTTAATTTCGGCCAAATGCCCACCGCATTTATTTTCATAGGCTGAGGAGTTACTGTCATTCCAGCGTGATCACACTGCGCTACAGTTTAATCCTGGAAAAATCAATTGCTGTTCGGAGAGCTCTTTGGATCCCCATCTGTCTGTTCATTATTTAACTTGACAGTTCGGCTTTAACATAAGCTCCCCTTCAGCTCTGCTTGCTGACAGTTTCAGAATCATGATCTGATAAATAATGTGTTGCCAAGTTCTTTACGGGTAACACTTTCTGTGACGCCTGTATTTGCATTATTAAGGGTATTCTTAATGCATTATAATGCATAATGCCTAATAAACAATGTGTTGTATCATCTCATGAATAATCGTAACAACAGTAATAATACTTACTATTAGATTTGGTAAAGCCTTGTAATTTTACAGTTTTTATGAATAAAACATGATTTGCATTGTGAATGTATTGTTCCTTTGTGCTTTTCCACACAACTTTGATTTTACCTAAAGGGAAATGTCTTACAAGCCCTTCATGATATCTTATGGCTGCTTAAAATAAGACTTTACTTTTGTTACTTTACTTAAAGCAGACAAAGACTACTTTGAAATATTATGACCACGTTATAAAGCTTTTTAGATTTTTAAAAGAAGAAGTAAAAGACCACTCATAAGATGTAGCCTAGTATGATACTGTGCAGATCTTAATGTCAAGATATGAGATTATGGGGTATATAATCCATTACAATTTAAGTGGATAAAATTGCTCATTGTGTTATAAATCATCTATACACTATTAATAGTTATAACCACAAATAGCTAAGTATTGTTATGATTATCCATGAGATGATACATCACATAAGAAATTATGCATGCATAATAATGCATTAAGAATACCCTTATGATGCATTATAAATGCAGGCTTCGTCTGGTGTTATAATGCATTGTACTCTTAGAAGTTATAACCACAGATAGGTCAGTGTTATAATGTATTGTAACTGTTGCATTGATTATTTATCAGATGGTACAACACATTATAAGGTTGTTTGTAAGGCAGTATGCATTAAGAAAATACTTATAATGTATTATAAATACAGGCTTAGAAAGTGTTACCAAATAAATGTGTCATTTTGTGTGGTTATTCTTATTAGGTTAACAGTGAAACTTTCACACTATGCCTCAACACCAAATGGTATTTTTTTTTATTTTTTTTTGTTTGTAAGGCATTATGCATTAAGAAAATACTTATAATGTATTATAAATACAGGCTTAGAAAGTGTTACCAAATAAATGTGTCATTTTGTGTGGTTATTCTTATTAGGTTAACAGTGAAACTTTCACACTATGCCTCAACACCAAATGGTATTTTTTTTTATGGCAGTCATTTTTTTGTTGTTGTTTGCAAAAATATACATGAGTGTTCAAGTGCCAGTGTTATTTATAGATGCATGTTTTACTTCAGAAAGTTAGAATTATGTGCCTGTAAATCAGATTTCTTTAAGTTGAAATCAATGAAATGTCTTTAGAATGTATAAAATACAATTACATCCCTCTGTAATGTAATTTTCAGCTCTTCTCTCACTCAAGTTTATATGTAATATACCCGATGCCATTTTAAATGCGCTCTCATGTCTCTGGGTTAATTGCAAGCACATGTTTGTGGGGGAGTTTTACGTTTCTGGACTCCACCATTTCAGTGATGGGCAACCCACAAAAGCAGCATCTGATTCTTATTTCTCATTATGATTTTAGTCTGCCATTTGCAAGGGCCTTGTCTAAGAGACATTTTATGGAGTCATGCAGTGCAATCTGTTTCAGAAGCTGTAAATGTGTTTGAGTTTGCTAACAGTGTTTGAGTAAGCTGTGTTTGTCCTTGCAGTTGCTCTTGTATTGTGTGGTCATTGCTTTCCTGTTTGTCATTGTGGTCAATGTTTCCTGTATTAGGCAAACATATAGCCTAAACTTGTGACACCCCCTTGTTCTGTTTGTGCTGGGCTTGAGTTTGATGAAATGATCAGTGAAAGCCGAAAGCCTGAGGGAGGTGAATGCTATTATCTGTAGCATGCAGGGGAAATAATACATAGGCCTACCTGACATAAAATGGGGGACATTGAAAGTTGTTTTTAAAAATGTCAGTGTTGAAAAAATCTCAAATAAAGACTACAGTTAACACTTTTTGTCAGTAAATCTCAACAAAACAAAAGTTTTTAGAATCTCATGTTGAGGCAAAGATGCAAAATGAGCTTGTGGGCTTTGTCAAAACCTATCGAGCTAATAGACGCATTATTTTTTTTAACTTGCTCATTCACGAGAGTCTAATGCCCAAACATGCTGTCTAGCAAGTCATCTAACATGAGGTTTGAAGACACTTTAGAAGCTCTCCCGTGTGTTCAAACACGCCCCTGTTACACAGACACTCCCTCCAGTTAAATCGCGGATTCGGAAAAAGACATTCTACACTTTGTCTACGAACACATCGCCTTCTCTCGTGCACTCACTGACAGCTTTCTGCGTCTGCCACAAATCTCGTAAGTTGTTTTCATTATTCTGTTTTTACGTCATATCTCTCTTTCGGCATAATAAAGACTAAATGAATGAGTGATTCCCCCCCTTCAAGCAATGCAGTTGATTATCTATATATAAATGTTACTCAGTGTGCATATTCACTTAGTAACTCGGAGTTATATGCGAAATATGTTATCCAGATGTGGACGCGGTTTAATGCACGTCACGATTCCCCCTTTATGAGACAAAGTCCAGTTTTCTGTAGGTGCTTGTTAAAGTGCACAGTGATTTTTTTCTGTGAAAAGTGTCATGCTTTGAATACAGTAGCCTAAAATATATAGAGAAGGAAGAAAAAAACGTTGCAGGATTTTAAGTCATGACATGACTGCATGATTATTACATTGTAATATCTAAAATGCATGTTCTGCTACACTTCAGTAAATACATTTATAATGTTACAAAATAATAATATAAATATAAAAGTGCATAAATAATATACATATGATTTTTTTTCTATTAATCAAAGAATCCAGAAAAAAAAGATCACATTTTCAATATTAAGCAACTGTTTTCAACATTGATAATCATCTGAAATATTTCTTGAGCATCAAATCATCAGATTAGAATGATTTCTGAATGATCATGTGACACTGAAGACTGGGGTAATGATGCTGAAAATTCAGCTTTGTCA